AGGGTTAGTTAGGTGTTTGAGAGTGTGTGTGAGGTGAGGTCCAGTTAAACCCAAAATGTCCTCATAATCAAGGGTTAGTCAGGTGTTTGTGTGTGTGTATGCATGATTCATATGGTTACTGATGTCCAGTTAAACCCAAATGGTCAGCAATGTTCATTTAGATACTAATAGCAAGTCTTGAACAATCTTCTCTTTTCACATTAACAAAACCGAAACCCAATCAACTGGAAATATTTAGCTTTATTCAAAACTATCTTTAGACAAAACTTCTTAAAATCTAATTAATAAATTAAGACTGACATTCAAGGTTCAATTATGAAAAATACTTGTGGGTGAATGCATTTGTCAGTGATGGTTAAATAGTAAACTCTCCTTTTGGTTTTTTAATTTCTTAATTTTTAAAGCTAAAATATTTCCGTATTTCACTTTCCCTCTTCTCTCTTTGCTCTTCACTCACTTCACACCTGCTAAATCTCACATTACAAACTCAGGTTAGTTTTCTGAAATCTCTCTTAAAGTTTAAGCCAGGTTGAACAATTGCTGATAATTTCTTGTTTTGTTTTTCTATATGCTGGTATTGAAACAAACTTAAGTGATGCGGCACTCTCATGGGTAAAGTTAGTCCAGGTTATACCAGGTTAGTCCTCATAATTAAGGGTTAGGTGTGTGTGTGTGTATGTGTGAGATGTCCAGATAAACCGGGGTTGTCCTCATAATTAAGGGTCAGGTGTGTGTGTGTGTGTATGTATGTGAGTGATGTCCAGATAAACCAGGGTAGTCCTCATAAATCATAATTAAATCAGGAAACGCCCACTCCTGCCCTGTCCTTACAGTGCTTTAGTTTGTCAGGTCTTCATATTACCAGACTGTTTCATTAGAATTAAATTCTGAGCAGTCAGCTTTTTACCCCATGCCATAAGGAGCAGTTTAATATTTCTTATTAATCTCTATGACAAAGGGAAAGGTGGGTCCCCATAAACCAGGATGGAACTTTTTAGGGGAAAAAGTCTTTATAAACCACCCGTACCAGTATGTGTGTGTGTGTGTGTGTGTGTGTGTGTGTGTGTGTGTGTGTGTGTGTGTGTGTGTGTGTGAGAGAGGCACGGGCGATCGAACAGTGGAAACGTAAAAACATACTCCGTCATTTTTTTCATACAGGACATCATTAAAACTGCAAATTGTTTACTTATATTTGTGTACACTCGCAATAAAACACAACATTGTGCTTTTGTCACACTCTAAACTCTTGTCAAACTGTAACCTACACCTGTTAACAAAAGCTTTTATGGTAGTATTATTTTATACGGAAATCAATTATTTATAATTCAGATGAGAATAAAGTTAGTTAATTAAAATGAAGGAAAACAAATATCTTGATCTGAAATAGCAAATTAATTTTAAATTCATTCAGGTACAATTACCAAACATATCTCAAGGTCTTTTCGTCTTTTTAATAATTTAATTAATAAACTAATTATATAAAACTACTGTCAGTGCACTACAAATAAACTGGTTCTATGCCTTTATTAATAAAACTTATTTAAAAAAAATACAAGGCTTCAGACATTTATAAAAATGCCTTCTGCATTTTTGCTTTGCTTTTCACTCCCTTGTACCGAAATCGTACCGAACCGTGATGTCTGAACCGAGGTATGAACCGAACCGTGACTTCTGTGTACCGTTCCACCCCTAATATATATTATTAATAAAAATGCATTCTTTGAATACATCTGAGCCACGCACTGAGTGAAGGTCTCGGACTGTAATTAGCCAGAACGGCAGAAATGTGTAATTAAAAGCGACGTCAATACAGTGATGAAGAATAATACGATGTCCAATTACTGAGCGCTTAAATTATAATCGAATAAACCCAACAAAACAACAAAGCTTTCATTAAAAACCCAGCAGAAAGCAAACCGTATTAATTAACATAAAACAAAGAGTGGATTGATCAGATATGTTGGCATCTGACACACACACAACCTGTGCAGCAACTCAATCTCAATTACACTCAGAATAAACAACAACAAAAAGAAAAAGAAAGAAAATAAACGTATTACATATTTTGGCAATGCAGTCTTTAGAAGAAATAATCACTTTAATATTCAACAATAGAGGAATAGTTCATCCAGAATAGACACTCCTGTTATTTACTCACTCGGTCGGTTCACTTTTGGGTAAACCAACTTTTTAATTTATGCTTATTTATATTGACACTGACTTTTATATCGCATAACGATCAACTCTGAGCAATCCACGCTTTCAGAAACTACACATTCAAAATGTAAATGAACATCCTTTAAATATGCTAATGTAATATTTTCTTGGCAGATTCTCGTCCTGGACGGTTTTCAGGATTAAAACACACGAGGTCCTGCGATCTTGGACCGTCTGCTCTATTATTATAGAGTTAAAACTCTGCTTAAACACTCATCTGCTTCTCAGTAACCCATTTACCCGTTATTAATGGCTTTTGCTTTTTTTTTTTTATTGTTATTATACTTTGAACAAATGTATTTTTTGATTCGAGCCCTTTGGACAACACTTCTGTTGCTCTAATATTTCTCTCTGCTTTATGCTGTTATATGCAATATATAAAGTATATATATCATATATCATTCAAGAGTTTGTGGTCGGATGTTTTTTAAAGAGTTTCTACTGCTCACCAAAGGTGCATTTATTTGATTAAAATACAGTCAAAAAATTTTGAAATATTATTATGATTTAAAAAATCTGTTTTCTATGTGAATATACAGTAAAGTGTAATTTATTCCTGTGATCAAAGCTGAATTTTCAGCATCATTACTCCAGTCTTCAGTGTCACATGATCCTTCAGAAATCACTCTAATAATGATTTGAAGCTCAATTATTAATAATATTCTTAATAATGATTAAATACACAAATATATACACATTTTTCATTATTCTCTGATGAATAGAAAGTTCAAAAGAACTGCATTTATTTGAAATAGAATCTTTTTGTAACATTATAAATGTATTTATGTCACTTTTAATCAATGTAATGTATCATTGATGATGAAAAGCATTAATTTAAATGATTACATTAAATTTCTAATAATTAAATAATTTATTATCACATAGAAAACAGCTGATTTTTTAAATCATAATAATATTTCACAATTTTTTGACTGTATTTTGATCAAATAAATGCACCCTTGGTGAGCAGAAAATACTTCTTTTAACATCATCATAAACCCAAACGTTTGAATGATAGTGAATGTAAAAACACAATCCCAGTTTAGAGCTGTGAGTTTGTCCAGTGAAGGTGGAAGCAAGCGATAACTGTGTGTGTGTGTGTGTGTGTGTGTGATTGTAGAAACACCTTGGCAGACTGGAGTCCCAGGCCAGATGAGTGATTGTGTGTGTGTGTGTGTGTGTGTGTGTGTAAACACCTTGGCACGCAGGCACACTGGAGTCCCAGGCCAGATGAGCGAGTGTGTGTGTGTGTGTGTGTGTGTGTGTGTTTGTAAACACCTTGGCACGCGGGCACACTGGAGTCCCAGGCCAGATGAGTGATTGTGTGTGTGTGTGTGTGTGTGTGTGTGTTTGTAAACACCTTGGCACGCGGGCACACTGGAGTCCCAGGCCAGATGAGCGAGTGTGTGTGTGTGTGTGTGTGTGTGTGTGTGTGTGTGTGTGTGTGTGTTTGTAAACACCTTGGCACGCGGGCACACTGGAGTCCCAGGCCAGATGAGCGAGTGTGTGTGTGTGTGTGTGTGTTTGGACAACTGGCCTGCCTGCCCTGTGCCGACCATAACGTGTCACACACAGTCCTGAAAAACACAGCCCTACAAGATGACATCCACAGATTTACAATTAAAGCACGTCTTCAGGTACTACCAACAAAGTTCAACTTAGCAACATGGTTTCCATCTGCACACGAACCGTTTTGCCTGCAACACCACAGCCGGCAAAGAGAGACAATCGCGCACATCCTTAATGGCTGCCCTGCCTACAAAGGACTGTACATCGCGCGCCACGACCGTATTGTTGCACTCTTAGTGAAGGAGCTCAGAGACAATGTCAATTTCACCACAATCCATTTTAACGAAAAGATCAAGATAGACTGGTTCTCACCTCCACACGAACAGTGCACTACATTGGAAACTGCTATAAATCACTTTCCAAATACACCTGACATAGTTGTAATTAATGAACACACCAAAGCGGTTACAATAATAGAAATTGGTTGCTCTTTTGATGCTTACATGGACACCTGCTATGCTTCAAAACTGTTGAAATATCAACCATGGTACAATGTCTTCAATAACTTTGGCTATTCTTGTAAAGTTATTGCCCTCATTTTCGGTAGTTTAGGCCATGTGCACAAGTTGTGTGTAAGAGGCCTGCAGATTTGCGGACTACATAAGAACAAGGCCAAAAAACTGACAAGATATTGCTCTGTGTCAGCAGTAATTGGTAGCCTCTACATATGGAGGCGTAGGTGCCACCTTTACCCTTAATGTGCATAATGGACTGAGATATTGGCTGCTGTTGTACACTTTTTTTTGTCAAATTTGAATTATGCCATGATATATGCTTATCTTTTAATTCAAATAAAGAATTTAAATGTTTGTAAACACCTTGGCACGCGGGCACACTGGAGTCCCAGGCCAGATGAGCGAGTGTGTGTGTGTGTGTGTGTGTGTGTGTGTGTGTGTGTTTGTAAACACCTTGGCACGCAGGCACACTGGAGTCCCAGGCCAGATGAGCGAGTGTGTGTGTGTGTGTGTGTGTGTGTCAGCACCTTGGCACGCGGGCACACTGGAGTCCCAGGCCAGATGAGCGAGTGTGTGTGTGTGTGTGTGTGTGTGTGTGTGTCAGCACCTTGGCACGCGGGCACACTGGAGTCCCAGGCCAGATGAGCGAGTGTGTGTTTGTGTGTGTGTGTGTGTGTCAGCACCTTGGCACGCGGGCACACTGGAGTCCCAGGCCAGATGAGCGAGTGTGTGTTTGTGTGTGTGTGTGTGTGTCAGCACCTTGGCACGCGGGCACACTGGAGTCCCAGGCCAGATGAGCGAGTGCTGTTCTCCTACAGACGGCCGAGTTGTTCCCGATGAGCCGGTATCCGCGGTCGCAGGCCCAGCGCACGACGCTGTTGACGTGTCCACCGGTCTGACTGAGGACGAAGCCGTGCTGAGGAGAGTCCGGCGTACTGCAGTACAGCGCTGTCGACGAGAGCCGGCGTTACACACTGATCACCCATCAGCAACACACACACACACACACACACACACACACACACACACACCTGCAGTACAGCGCTGTCGACGAGAGCCGGCGTTACACACTGATCACCCATCAGCAACACACACACACACACACACACACACACACACACACACACACACACACACACACACACACACACCTGCAGTACAGCGCTGTCGACGAGAGCCGGCGTTACACACTGATCACCCATCAGCAACACACACACACACACACACACCTGCAGTACAGCGCTGTCGACGAGAGCCGGCGTTACACACTGATCACCCATCAGCAACACACACACACACACACACACACACACACACACACACCTGCAGTACAGCGCTGTCGACGAGAGCCGGCGTTACACACTGATCACCCATCAGCAACACACACACACACACACACACACACACACACACACACACACACACACACACACACACACACACACACACACACACACACCTGCAGTACAGCGCTGTCGGCGAGAGCCGGCGTTACACACTGATCACCCATCAGCAACACACACACACACACACACACACACACACACACACACACACCTGCAGTACAGCGCTGTCGACGAGAGCCGGCGTTACACACTGATCACCCATCAGCAACACACACACACACACACACACACACACACCTGCAGTACAGCGCTGTCGACGAGAGCCGGCGTTACACACTGATCACCCATCAGCAACACACACACACACACACACACACACACACACACCTGCAGTACAGCGCTGTCGACGAGAGCCGGCGTTACACACTGATCACCCATCAGCAACAGACACACACACACACACACACACACACCTGCAGTACAGCGCTGTCGACGAGAGGCCGGTGCGTTACACACTGATCACCCATCAGCAACACACACACACACACACACACACACACACACACAACTGCAGTACAGCGCTGTCGACGAGAGGCCGGCGCGTTACACACTGATCACCCATCAGCAACACACACACACACACACACACACACACACACACACACACACACACACACACACACACACACACACACACCTGCAGTACAGCGCTGTCGACGAGAGCCGGCGTTACACACTGATCACCCATCAGCAACACACACACACACACACACACACACACACACACACCTGCAGTACAGCGCTGTCGACGAGAGCCGGCGTTACACACTGATCACCCATCATCAACACTCTCACACACACACACACACACACACACACACCTGTGTCTGAACACGGCTGCAATAACCCTGCCTTCAAGATCATATTTACAAGTGAAGCCTCAACAATGTTACAGTTACCAGCGGGAATGTTCAGGTGAAACTCGAAACATCAGAATATCGTGCAAAAGTTCATTTATTTCAGTAATTTAACTTAAAAGGTGAAACTAATATATTATATAGACTCATTCATTACATGCAAAGTGAGATATTACAAGCCTTTATTTGTTATAATTTTGTGGTTATAACAATGTGGTTATTTTATGCATGTTAGACTGGCAGTTTATGTGCATAAATCCACTTCAGCATTTTTATGCACATTTTGGAATTTTTATTCACATCTTGGTGTTTCCATCTAGCATTGTATTTATGCATCGTCCAGAAATTTGCATTAAAATATGCATTTCGGAGCCCTAGCCGAGATCCCTATATGGATGGCTATTTATTTTGAAATAATACTAGATAATAATATTATCGTCTAGTGTTATTTAAATAATAATAATGCTAATCTCAAGATGTATTGAATGAACTCATTAGACTATAGTAAATTGTTTAGTTGCAACTTTCTTTGGATTTAATAAAGTATATTAAATTAATAAATTACCATACTAAATATTATAACTCATTGCCTTTTCACCACATTAATTAGAGATCTTGCCCTACAATTATGCAATTACACCATTCCAAATAGAGTTTAATTAAATTTCACTCAAGTTATAATACATTTAAGATGACAATCAATTTAATGATATCATTTTTGAATACACTTTAGTTTAATAGTCCACTTCAGACACTCTACTAACTATAAGTAACTTTGCATCTCTCATTAGAGTATTAGTAGCCTGTAGGTTAGAGTTAGAATAATAATAAGTTGACATGCAGTTGTAAAGTTACTTATAGTCTGTTAGGAGCATCAAAATCAAGTTTTACTTACTTAAAAAAAAAAAAAAATCATAGGAGATGAGATCGATTATACCATCCTTTAGACTTCTAGATATAAAAATAACACTTTATTGAGTTTTCTAGATTTATTTTAACCCTATATCAAAGCTTTGGTTCTGGCATTCATCACTGGTTTGCCAAAAAGTATTTTTCTGATGCTTTAATTCATTTTAAAATTACATATTTCAATATTCGCTGAATATTTGCATTTATTTATTTAATATTTGATCAGCGTCTTTCTGATAACATTTGAAAAATGTCATCTTTCTTATGCATTCAGCCACATAAATGTAATTAACACTAATTATTTTTGTGTCAATATGTTACATGCTGCAAATGCGTCGTCCACAATTTGTTTTACGGTTTAATTATTACATTATATTGTCATAGAATGTAATATTTAAACCATAAATCAAATTTTTGGATGACAGAAGCAATTTCTGCTACATTTCCGGACACAGTTACATACAGATACACACACATTTGGACACAAACACACGGACAGATGGGACATTGACTCAAACGCACACGTCATGGGCCGGACAGACAGAAGGTTACGAGAGACACACACAGAACTGAAAGGAATTACCGATCCGGGATACATACTTTGATACTCACCCACGTAAGCGATCCGGAAGCCCTTCTTGTTGGTGCCGTGATCGGACGACCAGCGCAGGAACAGCTGGTGACCCGTCGTGGTGATGTTAAACGGCACGCGCTGATCTCCACTCAACACCGCAAGACTCTGACTGTAAACATTAGGCCCTACAGGAACACATGCACAAATAATGCATTGAGCAAATAAATCAAAAATAAAGAAATTCTTGAATCAGAGACGATTGTAATGGAGCGGTTCCGGACCATTCTGGCATACTCTTCTCAACACACTGTGCTTTGGGACACACTTATTCTAATCTCACACACTAGCGGTGTAACGAGACCCTCATGCCACGAAACTAAACTCACGATACAATATTATTGCGATACTCCATGAGATATGATAAAAGGTTTACAAAAAATGTACTGTTGATTAAAATGCTAAATTTGAAATTACAGGTGAGACTCGAAACATTAGAATATGGTGCAAAAGTTCATTTATTTCAGTAATTCAACTTAAAAGGTGAAACTAATATATTATATAGACTCATTACATGCAAAGTGAGATATTTCAAGCCTTGTTATAATTGTGATGATTATGGCTTACAGCTTATGAAAACCCCAAATTCAAAATTAGAATATTGTGAAAATGTTTTCATAAGCCATAATCATCAAAATTATAACAAATAAAGGCTTGAAATATTGCACTTTGCATGTAATGAGTCTATATAATATATTAGTTTCACCTTTTAAAATGAACTTTTGCATGATATTCTAATTTTTCGAGTTTCACCTGTACATTGAGTCTCATTCATGAAACATTCGTAAATATACGAGTAAATATGCGAGTGATTTGCGCGTAAAGAGACCTTCCCGAAAACTCTTCTCCTGATTCACAAATACTTCGTAAACGTCAGATGTGATGGTGAAATGTGTGTGTGTGTTAATGAATTCCAATCAGTCGTAAATGGGACGCGCGTTCACGTTCATTCTCAATTACCATAAATCCCGCCCATTAAATCCGACTGACACCTATGGGCATCATATTATGACATGAATGCGAATGAAAAAAAAAATTCTCAGATGCAGAAATTGAAGTTTTATTATCAGAAGTTCATTCAAAACGCCACATTTTATTTTCAAGCGTACATAGTGGCGTATCGGGAAGCTTGGCAGCATATTACAGATGCAGTTACTGGAGTTTCATCTGTTAATCGAACATTCCCAGAAGTGAGAAGAAAATGGTTCGACATTAAGCTTGAGAGCAAAAAACGAATTAGTTCACTTCGGAAAAATAGTATTCAAACTGGAGAAGGACCACCATCGCAGATGCTATTACTGGCTCTCATAATAAGAAAAACCGTATGCAATTACTATATATAATATTTTTTCAAAATGCTGTGCAAATATGTACCCGATTAAGGTGAATTAAAATGCAGCCTTAGTTATTAATGAGCAAAACGTTCGGGTGTTAAGCGCACTATTTACGCGTGGCTGGGAGCAGGAGTAGATTTCTGTCGTACCAACTAACATTTGGAAAATACGAACATTTTAATGAATCCGAAAATTTACGCCAGAACCACTTTACACACGATTTACACAAAAATTTGTTCTGCTCGTGTTTCATGAATGAGACCCAGTGTGTGTATAAATGAATAGTCTTGGACTTGATGCTGGAAACCCAAAGCACAGGACAATAGAGACACCAGATATTCATGATTCTGAAGCTAAAAAACAGAATTATTTTAGACGAATATGCTTGCACTCTTTTACTGACTAGATATATTTAAAATAACGTAAGCCACTTTTTACTGGTAACATCAGACATGTGGCATTATCAGGACCCACAGATATTCCCCCATTGCATTATTATACATTATAATCAACATTATATATAGTAGTTTAATATAGTGCTGACACTAAAACTTTGTAAACGTGAATTTTTTTCACACACGGTAATTTTCATTTCGGGTGAACTAGTCTATACACGATACATATCGTTGCATTTTTGTATTGTGATATATTGTAACACGATATATTGTTACACCCATATCTCTGACTGTTTAGGATGTATAGTTGAGACGCACGGATAGAAAGTCATTGGAGGAAAGCCCCGCCCACACGTGACGGGATTGGTCACATGTTTGTGATGTAGGAAACAGGGGCGGTTTCAAACCTTTGGGACACTGCAGTTTTAAGGAGAAAATACTCAGCAATGCTGTCGACTGGGGAATTTAGCTTAGAAAACACCACATCGGCATATAAACAACATTAAAACCGTGACTTTCACCACAGGGGGACTTTAAGACACTGGGGAAGGAGCTGCAAAAATGGCCTCGTTGCAAAACATGCACACAAAAGCTGGTCTGAGAGACGGAAATTGCCATTGCTTCTCAATTCCTATTCCACGGGGTCTCTGCAAATGCCATGGGCATTAATGAGCATCCAATCAATGATGAGTAATAGGGTCATTTGCTGATTGCAAGCACTTAAGTAATTAGCACTAATAACACTCTGAATGTATTCCGAATTGTCTTTGCCATTGCCTCGCTATCAAGAAATACTCGAGCTTCCCAGCGTTTTGCATATCTGCAGGTCCTAAATGAGTTTTTTAGAGGGGAAATATTTCTCTCGTAATAGTCGTGGATCTAAAAAAGCGACTCAAACAGATTCCCGAGGCTCCCAATTTCATTTAGAAATTTCCAGAAAAGTGTCAGAGTTGCGACAGGCCGGAGAATAATGTGTGCAATATTCAGGGACGCAGTTGCACAGATGATGCCTGAATATGAGGAATAATTCAAACCCACCATCAAAGATCTCCAGAATATCAAACTCCTTCTCCGTCTGGAAGAGTTCAAAGTGCAGTGTGATGTTGTAGCCCTTCTCCACGTTGATCATCCATGAGCACATCTGAAGGTTGGGGTAGCTGTCGGGGTAACCCGGACTCAGGATCACACCCGTCGAGTCGAACAGAACCTCGCTGTCGGGACATTGCACTGCGAAGAAACCAAACGAACATGTGTTAAAGACTGCAGGAACCAACAGGGACTCACTGGAAACTCATGCATGAGGCTAAACCAGTTCAAAATAACACTAAACCTGATAGTGTTAACAAAAGCCAATGCATTTTCTGCATTCTAGCTTGCTTCTCCAAGTCTTTAAGCTCTTTTATCATGTGACGTGCAATGCCGTACTAAGTGAGCTGACGAACAAGTAAAAAAAAAAAAGCATATGGAGCTTGTTATTTCATGCAAATGTCAAAAAGTATTAGTTTAAAGCATGCATTATGGTAAAGGAGTTTTTATTAATTCTAATTTGTGTGAAAAAGAATACGTTTTGCTGGTTTTATTGCCAGTTTATTTTAGCTGGAGACTGTAATATTTTGTGTAAAAAAAAAAAAGTTTTTCAAACCAGTCAATGTTGGCTAAAACATCATCTGAATACAGTCACCTGCACTACTTGCATCATCATGTTCTATGATTATACATTTCCCAAAAGGAACCATTTTCACTTTATCATCACTTTATTTTGCACTTTATTTCCCCCCCCTGAAGACCACTTATAATGTCAAGCTTAAAATATATGTTTCTTGCCCTCATAATGTACTTTTAGCCAACGTGACGAGACGTGACAAGTTTCCTCTGACAAGTAATTTGCCTGTTCTCACTGAAAGTGGAAATGTGACATCACTCAATCAGAACATTTTATGTTTAATAAACAGTTTTGTGGGGTGCAATTTTGCAGAGCTACTCAACACGATGCCATAGGAAGGAAAACTTCAATTCCCATAATGCACTGGGCATGTTGCCGGCCACGCCCACTCTGCTCCTATTGGATAAGCTTGACCAGAGTCAAATACCGCCTTGCTTTAGTAGGAAATACTTCTTAATAAACTTTAAGTCATAATGGAGTCGACTTGTATTGTTCCGGGTGCAAGAATTCAAAGAGAGAATCTGAAAAACCTCCATGTTTGTAGTCAACATTTCAAACTGGATGAACATGAACACAGTGTTTTAGGCTAAACAGAGAGGAAAACATTTACATATTTAAAGTAAACACACTATCGACATTGCAACAATACAACGCGTGTTGAAAAGTGGTGAAGTTACCAGCTGATATGCTTCAAGCTCAAACTGGTGAGACAATTTAAAACGAAACCAGTTCAGTTCTTTTAGTATTTGTTTTGAGAGTTCAAAGCAGGTTGTGTTTCTGTACAAGTTTTGCTCTGGCTGGTAAACACCTTCCAACAACTCCCATTGGTCCGTGGTGATGATGTCATACGTGGGTGTGGCTCTGAGGCTCCGCCTTCTTCAGTTCAGTCCGTTGAGGTCAGACGCGAGTAAAAACATGAACACACTGGAGAGACGCTTTATAGTAGAAACTAGAGCTGTGATTGTAATTAAAAGCAACACTGACACTGTTTCTCATCTTTAAAAATGTAAAGCTGCTTGCTTTTAAACAATCTGCAGTATTAATAAAGGTGACGTGACTTTACTTGAGCTGCTGCAAACATATTCACATCGCTATAATCAGATGCTTTCTGATCCGCTGTTTTCTCACCACTGTCATTTTTTGTTTATATTTATTTATTTTTTAAGAGGAAAGCGCAGCAGAAATTCACATATTCATCTAAACGCCGCTCTCCGCATTGTGGATGTCAGCTGTTCATGCATCTTAAACTTATTTTTTACCCTTAAAGTCCCCCTGAAGTCAATCATTGTATCCCTTAAAACTCATCTTTGACCACAAAATGACATATTTAAAGGTGCCCTAGAATGTTTTTTTTTTATTATATTATAATGTTTCCTGGGTTACCCTTATAATGTTAGTATGTTTTTTAGATAAAAAATAATCATAATTTAGAAATAAATGGCATTTTTCCTAGCCTGCTTTTAGCCTCTGATTTGAACACTCTGTTTGAAGGGGCGTGTCTCTGTGGGATTCAGTGTAACCGCGGCCACTGCTGTGATTGGCTGTGGGATTCAGTGTAACTGCGGCCACTGCTGTGATTGGCTGACATGCTTGCATATGAAATAGCAACGCATTACATTCACACAACTTTCTCCCGAATACTTTTACTACTGCTATTATACGTTTTTACTATAACAGCTATCGAGATTAACGAATCGTGAGATGTTTTTAAAGTATTTAGATCTATTCCCATCACATAAAATGTTGCCGTGATGAGCATTGAGCAGATGACAGTGTGTTGATCGCGAGAATGAAGATCTAATCATTGCAAAGCAGTTTCTGCACTCTCTCTGCTTTCACCAATGCAAACACGATGATGTAAATACAGTAAGAGCTTCGTTGTGCAGTAACGTGCGTCATTGATTTCATAACGAGTTTGGCAAGTGTCCAGATAAACTCGCGCTGTGTGGAAAGATTGTTCTTTGATCGCTTTCTGTATATAATTTGTTCACAAATTAAATACGATTATTTTCATCCTACTAAAAGAAACGATGTGAAGTTGATATTTTAGTCACTGGCTTGACTTACTGATGCATAAACAGTATTGAACGATTTTGAGAGAAAGATTACCTGTCTGAACTTGAACAATTACTCATCAGAAAGTGTTGCTTGGTAGCTCGATCCGAGGCCAGCTCTGTATTGGCCCAAGTTGAGGAAACACTCGGTGAAATGTTTGGAAATTTCCAGAGAAAATAAAATTAACCCATTGTTTCTTCAGAGGCCCAGATGAAGGAACTAAAAAATACTTTTGTGTTCATGTGTACATCCACACTGAGCAACTGCCATGGTTCGGCTGCGCAGTTCCGCCTGGCATTGAGGGCTGGCATTATGCAAATATTTGGAAGCGTACATATTAATGATCCCGACTATTGCGTCACAGTCGGTATTGTGTGGAGAACCGACCGTTTTTCAGGGGTGTTTTTCATAAACGTGAATTAAATGAGAACGCGAAAACAATCCAGTTTGAGATTCACTCTATGTCATGTCCATGCACTGAACTCTTGTTATTTGACTATACCAAGGTAAATTCAATTTTGAACTATAGGTCACCTTTAAGCGTTTTTTTCCTTAAAAATAAATTTGCATGCCTTAAAATATCTTGAATGTAACTCGACACCCTTGCCTCATTTAGTATACGCGGAGGTTCTATGAATATGCAAATGAGCCCCGCCTCCACTCACTCGCTCAGCTCAGAGATCCACTGGTTGACGATCACACGTTGATCTGATTGGTTACAAGGTCGTTTGTGACGTCAGAAACACCAGCGATTTCAAACCGTGTTTTTGAGACTGTCTTTGGTTCACTGCAGTTTTAAGGAGAAAATACTCAGCAATGCTGTCGACTTATGAACTTACACATGGGTTAAGCGTATTAAAAACACCACATAGACGCATAAACAACATTAAACGCTGGATTTAAACACAGGGGGAAGAACGAAAAAACTTCAGTGGGCCTTTAGCATCCCTCTACTACAGTTTCCCTAATCCGCAAGTCCAAAAGAGCCTAACAACTAGCGGCAGAGCTAACGACTCGAGACACGACATCAGGACGAACACACACACAAACGAGACACGTGTCGAATGCGCTGCCAAACTCACCCTGGCACACGGGCGGAGGACCATCCATCTGGAGTCTCTCGCCCAGCCGACAGGTCAAGATCTCGGACCCGAGCAGCGAGAAGCCCGGCAGGCACCGGTACCTGATGATGTCTCCTGTTGAGCAATCACACACACACACACACATCTTTCTTTCCCACTGCAGATAGTGCTCAACAACAACACATTAGCTAATTAAGACCTGACTGCTTACACACTCGTGACAGTAATGATGACAAATGCAGAGCGTCGGTGTTATTTTCCCCACAGAAAGAGGCATTTTCTTTCACATTAAATAAGAAGCGCTGGATTGTGAAGGTGGGCACTTCTCGATGCGTGATAAATCTACACACACACACACACATGATCATCAAACGCTGGTCCTGCGTGCTTCCACTAGGCTTAGATATGGTGTGTTATTTTAACAACTGGGTTAATAAACATTACTTTGCCTTTCGGTTTAGTTCTCGTTAACGTTAATGTCACAGGGAACGAGTATTATCCATCGCTATATAAGAGAAGAGTCATTTACAGTTTTTCTTTCCATTCAGATATTCCTTTACTTATTTAGAGTAATTTCTTTTTTAATGAACATAAGTGGGTTGTTGCAAGTATGTAAGCACATGGTAGGAGAGTGTGAATATGTGTGGTCATAGATGTATGAATGTGTGTGTGTATACGTATACAGGTGAAACTCGAAAAATTAGAATATGGTGCAAAAGTTAATTTATTTCAGTAATTCAACTTAAAAGGTGAAACTAATATATTATATAGACTCATTACATGCGAAGTGAGATATTTCAAGCCTTTTTTTGTTATAATTGTGATGATTATGGCTTACAGCTTAATTAAACCCCAAATTCAAAATTAGAATATTGTGAAAAGGTTTTCATATCTGTAAGCCATAATCATCACAATTATAACAAAAAAGGCTTGAAATATCTCACTTTGCATGTAATGAGTCTATATAATATATTAGTTTCACCTTTTAAGTTGAATTACTGAAATAAATTAACTTTTGCACCATATTCTAATGTTTCGAGTTTCACCTGTATAAGCATTGAACATATGTATAACTATATGTACATATTGTTTCTCTTTATGTAGACTGTAAAACTGTGCCGTAATTTTACAGTTACTTACCGCAAAAAAAGCACGGTAAAATACCATTTACATGATTCACGGTTAATTACTGTAATATGCACTGCATTGTGGGTATTTTTAATGAGATTTACTGTAACTTACTGTATATGGGTATTTGCAGTACTTTTCTGTTTACGCAAAAGCAGCAGTGCTACTGTAAAGGGGAACTTACAGTAACTTACCGCAAAAATACAGTAAAATGTCTGTATAGGTATATGACATGTAAACGTATGCATAATTTGTATGCATTCTTATCAAGGTAATTTAATCTAGTCATTTCATTTTATTTATTTTTCTCTTTTCTTGCGTTTATGCATTCATACGTTTACTTTATTTATGTATTCAGGACAACATGTGTGACTTGTACTTATAACATTCAGGAATGAGGACAATGTGAAGTTTTGTTTCAACATATGGTATTGCTGTTCACTGTTTATGTAAAGCTTAATAAAGAATAAAAAAGTGGAAAATAGTTCTTACCAATTTGGAATTCATCATCTTCCGCCAGGATCTCTGCGTTGGCGACGAGTGCGGGAGGTTGACACACACGGAGTTGGTAAGCTGGGGACGAGACGAGCGAGATACGTGATGTTTAGTTGCTTGTTTAAGTGATAACGCTTTAAAACAACCCACACAATTACATCTTAAATCATCACACCTGTCACTGGAGCTTTTCTAAATGCACAACACAATTACACGAGAGTATGAATCATAATCACAGTCTCAGCATCTGCCTTGACAACACTCATTATGCACATTGTCTAATTGCAATGCGTTTCTAAAAGAGGATTTAAGCACCTTCTATCACTGGTGTGTTATGATAATAATCACTATTTTGATGAAACATCTTCTGAAGAGGTAAGATGTTGAGCAGAACATGTCATATTCCCTCACTAAGATGTATAATTCACACATTTTAAGAATTGTTTATACAAACTACATGCTTTAGAGCAGCAATGCTGGGAAATTATGTTCATATATATATATATATATATATATTAGGGCTTTCAAACGATTAATCACGATTAATCGCATCCAAAATAAAAGTTTGTGTTTACATAATATATATGTGTGTATTGTGTATAATTATTTTGTATATAAATGCACACATGTATATATTTAAGAAAAATATGTTATTTATATATAAAATGTTTATATTTATATAAAATTCACATTCAGTCTATATACAGTATATACATGCAAATATTTCTTAAATACACATGCATGTGTGGGTATTTATGTATTAAAAATAATTATACACAGTACACACACACATATATTTTGTAAACACAAACTTTTATTTTAGGTGCGATTAATCGTTTGACAGCCCTAATATATACATGAATATATACATATTCAAAAAGAAAGATAATACTATAATATTAAAAGTATTCATTTTAAATGTCAATGCATAATTTTGCTAATAGATGCAATTAAATATAAAGTAATATATTGTACATGCTAAACAACCTGCTAAAAACTATGATCAAAATAACACAAATGTGGTTTTGCTGTACCATAAAATTATTTATTTAAAATGTAGTAATTTAATTAATTTGCTAATAAATTTAATTAATTTGCTAATAAATTTAATAATTTGTTATTACATTTAATAATTTGTTATTACATTTAAGTAATTTGTTTAATAACTATTAATGTTGAATAAATTAAGTTAAGGGGTTAGTAAAAATAATGAAAATGAAAAAAATTATATAATAAAAATGAAAAATAATTAAAAAGTTTTTTTTTTTCACTGTATACATGAAATATATTAAATGAACCTGCTAATAAACATTAACATTTTCTGTACTTATTATTGGTTATGATTAGACATAAAACATGATAAAAAATGTCAGCATGTAAACGTTTAATGGATAAATGAACTGAAGAAGTGAAGAAGAGTGGCGCTCGCTCATCCTGCCGACACGAGTATGAGGAAGGTTATAACACAGTTAAAGATTTGTTTAAATGAGTTTTCATCCAGCGAACGCTCTCAGTATCTTAACATCATGAAGATTTACACACAGTTAAATGACCTCTATATTGTTAGACGGCGCCACTGATAAAAAAAAGCACATCTCATTTAAAATTCATCATCAGGAGAAAACAGAAACACTCACGACAAACTCAGCTGTTACTACGTTAACACATTAAAAGCAATTTCAAGCTGGAGAATGGGCATTTTGGCAGCTCTGGGACCACAAGCGTCTTATTTTATTATCTTTAAAAATTCTAACGAGCTTTGTGCTTTGCAGCTCTTGACTTAACTTCCTTACGCTGTATTGCTTTATTGGTAAACCTCAAAAGCATCAGCAGAAAAAATGCTAACGCACATATTATTGTCCTTTATCGAATAACACTTTCCCATCACAACGGCGAAACGGATTAGAGAAATCCGATGGGGTTAAAGGTCGTCTGTCGTGATCAGATAATATTTCCCCCGTTGAATGCTCTGTTCAATAACCTAGAGCGCATCGCAAAGCGTCAAACACAAAGTATTGCATGCATATTTCATTGTAAAACCAAAAACCAAAGTCAATTCTAATTAAAACTAGTGTTGGGCAACGATCAATCGCATCCAAAATAAAAGTTTGTGTTTGCATAATATATGTGTGTGTGCTGTGTATCATTATTTTGTGTATATAAATACACACATATGCATGTATTTAAGAAATATTTGCATAATACTGTATATATATGTGTACGTAAGTTATATTATGTATAAATATAAATATTTTATATGTAAAAAATTTAAAATTCGTAAAATATATACATGCATGTGTGTATTTATATATACAAAATAATTATACACAGCATATTTTGTAAACACAAACTTATATTTTGGATGTGATTAATCTTTGCCCAGCTCTAATTAAAGCATCTGTTTGTACGATGCACATATAGTGCATTTCAAACCGTAACTTATGAGGTTTCATAACAGCAGGGATTCTGCCAGAGAAGCCAACTGCGTATGTTTCTGCTCCCGCTCGTTCAGAAATAGGTGTTATTACGGATGATGGAAGTTTCCAAACACATTACAGCGCCATCCACGCCAATAATCGAAGCCATTTTCCAAAGAAACAAGTAATATCATTTCTAGTCGGTGTTTTTGAGAGCAGTAAAACAAAAAGCAAGAGAGCAGAAAGCAGCAATGTAAAACACTTCTGGGAACATAGCGTTGTTTTTATATGTACTTGCTGTTTATACTGTTTTACAGCAATTACTAATTAATTCTGCTTTTGTATTATTCATTTTCACGAATTAATGTTTGATTATTTAAAAATAGTTGGTATTTTGTCCTAACCAACCCCTAACCCTCAACACCATTGGTAAACCTCTTTAAATATTTAACCTAATTTTAACAATATTCTGGTTTTAAATTCAGTTTATTTTGAACAAAAGACCTTATTTTTCAACTTGTGCATGTTCATGTACTTGCTTTTCTTTAACTCGTCTGATATGTGACCGGCTTAAAGTGCAGTAAACGGTAAAACTGTTTGTACCACAATCTAGTGTGTTTATTAGTACAATGATAACTTAAAATAATATGAAAACAAATACCAGGTTACAAGATCAAAAAGCTGGTATGAACAGCTAAAATAATGTGGGCGGAGTCTCTCTGCAAGCGCACTGCACTCGCAACCAAATCAATTACAAACCACAGCCAATCAGAAGAGCGTGTGGGCGGAGTCTCTCTGCAAGCGCACTGCACTCACAACCAAATCAATCACAAACCACAGCCAATCAGAAGAGCGTGTGGGCGGAGTCTCTCTGCACGCACACTGCACTCGCAACCAAATCAATTACAAACCACAGCCAATCAGAAGAGAGTGTGGGCGGAGTCTCTCTGCAAGCGCACTGCACTCGCAACCAAATCAATTACAACCCACAGCCAATCAGAAGAGAGTGTGGGCGGAGTCTCTCTGCACGCACACTGCACTCGCAACCAAATCAATTACAAACCACAGCCAATCAGAAGAGAGTGTGGGCGGAGTCTCTCTGCAAGCGCACTGCACTCGCAACCAAATCAATTACAACCCACAGCCAATCAGAAGAGAGTGTGGGCGGAGTCTCTCTGCAAGCGCACTGCACTCGCAACCAAATCAATTACAAACCACAGCCAATCAGAAGAGAGTGTGGGCGGAGTTTCTCTGCAAGCGCACTGCACTCGCAACCAAATCAATTACAAACCACAGCCAATCAGAAGAGAGTGTGGGCGGAGTCTCTCTGCAAGCGCACTGCACTCGCAACCAAATCAATTACAAACCACAGCCAATCAGAAGAGAGTGTGGGCGGAGTCTCTCTGCAAGCGCACTGCACTCGCAACCAAATCAATTACAACCCACAGCCAATCAGAAGAGAGTGTGGGCGGAGTCTCTCTGCAAGCGCACTGCACTCGCAACCAAATCAATTACAAACCACAGCCAATCAGAAGAGAGTGTGGGCGGAGTTTTTCTGCAAGCGCACTGCACTCACAACCAAATCATTAACAAACCACAGCCAATCAGAAGAGAGTGTGGGCGGAGTCTCTCTGCAAGCGCACTGCACTCACAACCAAATCATTAACAAACCACAGCCAATCAGAAGAGAGTGTGGGCGGAGTCTGTCTGCAAGCACACTGCACTCACAACCAAATAGATAAGCACAAAATCAAATTCATAAATATTTTAACATTTGGAACATCTTTGTTATAGAATACACATGTTCGTTCTTGTTTCTTTTAATTAATTTTCATGATCTGAGGTGAATGATCCATTACCGCTTTCAGTACGGCTATAAATGTCAAACTCACATTAGATACTTTTAACATCAAATAAAGCACATAGTCAACATCTGAGATTATAATTGTTATACTTTATATATTGTTGTTCCAGCCACAACGTCGCAGAAACAGATAGTAGGGAGGTTAAGCCCAAAAAATAGGCCTTTGACTTCAAGTCATGATGCAAAGGTCTCCTTTGGTATGGAAGTACCTTAGGGTCATACAAATAAATTTATCCTAAGACACAAGTGAGATCACACTTTGTATCAGAAATAAACATGTTTTTTCAAAAATACTCTAGAGCCCATATCTTTGCTTCTGTTATCGCTATAATGACAAATTTGGTGTCAAAGTGTACATTCTTGGGGTCAAGGAATCCAATAAAATTGGTTTCAAGTTTAAAAAAATTATAATTTTCCCCATACCATGACAATTGGGGGTAAATATGCACATTTCACATAAAAATTGTCATCAGAGTGACTTTACTTATCTTTTCGTTCAAAAACTTTAATTTTGTATTTAAGCAGTGCAGCTACTTCTGTACATTACATTTGTCCTAAGTAGCATGAGATTTCGACCAGTCAGGAGTAGCCTATAGCATATCAGTTCCTGCAACAACACATCCCATCTGCACCAGGAGCTGTGACAGCTGTTGAAGGTCAGAGGTGACAGGTTAACACTTTGAGGTTCGTATGACTTTCTCATTAAATATATATATTTTTTTAATGTTAGATAACTAATAAATAGCTAGCTAGTTGACTATGGAAAAAAAAACCTTAGAGGGAAAACCTCTTTTCTCGAGAATACTGAAGCCAAAAATTATCCTTATAATTTGTATTAATTTAAAACACACTTGCTGCAGCTAGCAGACCTAGGCGAGGCAGCTCGCGCGCCTATTGGATGCTATGCGGCAACTGCTGCAACCTATCGAGGCACTGCTCGTGACGTAAGCACCAATGAGTGGGCGAATGGGCGTGGCTTATGCCTATATAAGCCAGAGCTCTATAAGATGCTCCTTGGTTTTCATCGACTGAAGCGAAACCAGATGGTAGCACAAGCACGGCAGGGTTACGCAACACTCATTCCCTCTTCTAGAGAGAACCGAGGTTACGTTAGTAACCGTGACGTTCTCTTACGAGAGTACTCTCGTGTTGCGTAAGCTAGCTTACGCTACGGGAATCCAATTTAAAACGCCGTGCGTGCTAAATCTACCACAACACTGACCCAAGGGCGAGCGCCCTGAGTTCATATGATATGGGGATATAAAAAGCCGACATTGGGAATGGGCTTAATAAGAATGATATAAGGTAAACGTGGTTACCTTAAATGCATAGAGGGTGCTTAACACGGTATAACAGTCAGGGGAGGCAATAGCCTGCCTGAACTGAAAACTTTGCAGTCCGCGGAACCGAGTCCGGCAGAACTGAGCAGATAAACTAAACTGACAACAGTCTAGCTTGGAGCGCGGGAACTTCCAGGTTATAGAACCCTATAAATGTAGACAGAGAGGCCCAGCCTGCCGCCATACAGATATCGTGAAGGGAAATCCCACTGGACCAGGCCCATGAAGAGGCATGCCTCTAGTGGAATGAGCTCTGACGCCCAGAGGGCAACGAAGGCTCTTAGATGTATAAGCCAGTGAGATAGCGTCCACTTTCCACCTGGAAAGGCTATGTTTCGAGGCAGCTAGACCTTTAGATCGGCCACCAAACGAAACAAATTGCTGTCCTGACCGTCTGAAAGCAGCCGAACGTTCCAAGGGCCCTAACCAGGCAAAGGAGATTCACGTCAGACTCGCTGTCAGATCCGAAGAGAGAATGTCAGATTGAAGAGGCGGTGGTACCAGTACCAGTCGGTCGCCTTCCAAGGTTTCAGAGCTGCGACGCATTTCTGATTGACCCTGAGGCGAAACAGATCAGAGGCCCAAGCTTGAGACGGCACTCGTGCTTTCAGCCACCACTGCAGTGGGCGCATGCGAAGCAGATCCAGCTGGAGTACTGATGATGATGAGGCCATGAGGCCCAGCATCTTCTGAAATCTCTTGAGCGGGACTATAGTGCCGCAATGTTCAGTATGCGCTCTGGCGATAGTCGCGCTGTCATTGACAGCGAGTTCAGCTCTGTGCCCAGAAAGGATATTTCCTGGCTCTTCGCCCAATTGACTGTGAGACCAAGATTCTCGAGGTGTTCGAGTAATATGGTCCTGTGTTCTATGAGCTCTGAATGAGATCGAGCTAGAATCAGCCAATCGTCCAAATAGTTCAAAGCTGGCATTCCCTGAAGTTTCAGGGGCGCGAGAGCCGCGTCCATGTACATCATAATATACAGGATGCCAGGGACAGGCCGAACGGTAGGACTGTGTATTGATATGCCTGGCCCTCGAAGGTGAATCTCAAAAATCGCCTGTGACGAGAGAATGTCAGACTCGCTGTCAGATCCACAGAGACTTGTGCTCTGAAAGGAGTGGCAAGTACTTTGGGGACATAATCATGTCTTGGTTTGAGGATGACCTTGGAGTCATTAGGCCCAAACTCAAGGCACGACGCACTAACAGAAAGTGCGTGTAAGTCACCCACCAGCTTGACTGAGGCGATAGCCACCAGAAAGGCGGTTTTCAATGAGAGATACTTAAGGTCCACAGACTGTAGAGGTTCAAAAGGGGCACCCTTCATGGCCTCCAGGACCAAGGAAAGGTCCGAGGGGGGGCGAGGAGGGTTCATCCTTCTAGCTCCCCTGAGGAAGCGGACTACAAGGTCGTTCCTACCCAGTGACTGGCCATGCGAATATTTGACAAACGCAGCAATAGCCGCCACATATACCTTGAGCATGGATGGGGATCTACCCTTATCCAAGAGCTCCTGTAGGAAGGAGAGAACCTCCGACACCCCACAATCTTGTGGATCCAGGTTGCGAGCTGAGCACCAACCTGAGAACACTGACCACTTGGAACCATAAAGCCATCTAGTAGAGGGCGCTCTAGCTTGCGTAATCGTGTTTAACACTCCGTCGGGGAGACTGATGGGTACCCGTTGATGGCCCACACATGCAGAGCCCAAAGCTCGGGTCGTGGGTGCCAAATCGTACCCCCGGCCTGTGAGAGGAGATCTCTCCTCAATGGGACAGGCCACGGAGGCAAGCTCTGAAGCTGCATCAGCTCCAGAAACCAAACTTGGTTCGGCCAGAACGGAGCTACTAGAAGTACACAGGAACCGTTCTCCCTTATAGGCTTGATTACCTGTGGTAACAGCATGATCAGAGGGAAAGCATAGAGAGGGCGGCTGGGCCAGTGATGGGCAGCCCAGCCGCCAGTGATGGGCTGGGCCAGTGATGGGCTGGGCCAGTGATGGGTGCTGAACCCATACAAGGATGCGTTCTGCCAGTGCATGAAGGTTCCGTGATCTCAGACTGCCCTGGCGATTTATGTAGGAAACCACCGACATGTTGTCCGTGCGGACAAGGACATGGTGGCCCTTTAGAAGGGGAAGGAAGAACCGCAAGGCGTTCTCGACCGCCTTCATCTCTAGACAGTTTATGTGCAAGCTCTTTTCTTGGCTTGACCACAGGCCAAAAGTCGGTCTGCCCTCAAAGAGGGCGCCCCAGCCCGAATTTGAGGCGTCTGTCAAAACCACTATCAGTTTAGAGATTACTCCCAGGTTTACACCTGTCTGATACCAGTCGACCGCCTTCCAGGGCTCCAGAGCTGTGACACAGTTCTGAGTTACCTTGAGACGTAAACGACCGGATGCCCATGCTCGACGCAGGACCCACGTCTTCAGCCAGTGCTGTAAAGGGCGCATGCGAAGCAGACCTAAACGAAGAAATTATTAAGTTGTGAATGGACTGTGTGTTTGGCATGCGTTTTTTAATAAAAAATTGCATACTTCACCTCCAATTGTCATGTTAAGGACAACATTATTGTTTTTTAGTCTTGGAACCTATTTTATTGGACTCCTTGACCACAAAAATGTACCCGTTGATACCAAATTTGTCATTATAGCTATGACAGAAGCAAAGATATGGGCCTCTCAAGTATGGTCGGCGGCCATTTTTAAAAAATGTGTGTATATAAGATACAAAATGTGATCTCACTTGTGTCTTAGGATAAATTTATTTCTATGGCCCTAAGGTACTTCCATACCAAAGGGGACCTTTGCATCATGACTTGAAGTCAAAAGTCACTTAACCTCCCTACTAAGAAGCCGTTTCTAAAGTAGAATTGTCGCTGCTGGTTAGGACAAAAACTCTGATTGACATGGAAAATATGCTTTTTAATGCGTCTCACAGCCTTTAAATCACATCTGGTGTGACACTGAAAGGCTCGAACATTCAAATTTTAATGGCTGCACCTGTTCTTTTGTTAAAAATAAGGTGGAAAGATAATAAAAAATGTAATCATTTCAATGGGTCTAGTCTTTGCATCAGTTTGAGGTTTAAAGGGATAGTTCACCCAAAAATTATTTACTCACCCTGAAGTCATCCTAGGTGTATATGACATTCTTCTTTCAGACGAACACAATCAGAGTTATATAAAAAAATGTCCTGGTTCTTCCAAGCTTTATAATGGCTGTGAAAAGTCAATAAAAGTGTATCTATCCATCATAAAAGTGCATCTATCCATCATAAAAGTGTTTCTGTCCATGATAAAAGTGCATCTATCCATCATAAAAGTGCATCTGTCCATCATAAAAGTGCATCTGTCCATCATAAAAGTGCATCTGTCCATCATAAAAGTGCATCTATCCATCATAAAAGTGCATCTATCCATCATAAAAGTGTATCTGTTCATCATAAAAGTGTATCTGTCCATGATAAAAGTGCATCTATCCATCATAAAAGTGCATCTATCCATCATAAAAGTGTATCTGTCCATCATAAAAGTGTATCTGTCCATCATAAAAGTGCATCTGTCCATCATAAAAGTGCATCTATCCCTTTAATTCAGCTCTCCTCTATAGGTGGCGCTGTCACACAAAAAACAGGAATATAGTACAGCATATGTACACCTGAATGTACATAATGCAATTTCACGGCACAGTTTGAGCTGAATGTGTACGTTCACAGCGTATGTAAAGAACATGTTCTGTGGGCGTAAGGGGATAAGCCAGGATAATCAAACCTGACAACAAACAACACACAGACCATCAGCAAACCAAGCCCTGGTGAACGAGCAACATTAAAGCGGGAAACTGCTCACCATGGAAACGCAGAACAAAGAATCCGCTGGTGCTGAAGTCGCTGTGGAACTTTAGCAGGATCTGATTGGACGTGCTGGAAACGAACTCCTGAGACGAGCTCCCGCTGAACTGACCGATCTGAGGAGATGCTTGGTCAGGGCCGTCCCTACAGGAGACAATAGAGACGGGCATTTAAAACATCCTTGACTTCTTCTGTTTGCTGATATAATACTCTCTCTCTCTCTCTCTCTCTCTCTCTCTCACGTCTGGCGGGATCATATAAAGAACAGCTTTTCTGTCGTTCTCATTCAAAACCCTCAAGAGTGAGTTACACGCTTAAAGCAGAGCGATGAAAACACTGACCTTGCTTCTCAATCTGTCAAAATCATGTAATTGCATAGTGGTTTTTAATTAGGAAGACGCTTTTATGAAACTATTTTGAAACCATCAGATTACAGAAAGGTAGAATAAAAAAAACTAAAAGCTTTCTAAACTATACTCAACTTTAGTGTGTCGTGCAGAAAATAACAGTTTTTATCAAGGTTATGCATCAATGGCCGTTCATTTATGAGTTGAACCATTAAATCATAAAATTATTATCATGGGAAACCTTTTTAAAGTTGAGCATATTCATTAAATATATATGACAGATAGATATAAAGTATTGGTCTTAAGCTGTAACTGTGAATGCTTATTATAAAATTGTAAAACAGATCGGCTACTTCAAGCCTGTATTATAATAATGGTGTTCATAATGCACATTATATGCATTATATCGCTTCATAAATAACTGTAACCAAAGTTAAAATGCATTATAATATTTGGAGATTCCTTGTTGCATCTGAAACTGGCTGTTTGTCGTGTGTTTTAATGCATTATACTTTCTAAAGGTGTGTTCGATGAAGGTTATTATTCATGAGGTGCATTGCAATGTATAATAAATGCATTAAAACACTTTTATAATGCATTATGCATAAAGGCTTTAAGTGAAGTGTAACACAGAGACTAATGTAAACTTTTCCTCTATAGTTTATCCTCTGACGTGTTGATGTTTGTGGGAAATGTCCTACTTGCCCCACACAGACAGATTTTGCACCGTGAGAATGAAACGATTAAATGAAACTGTCAGTTTTCACTTTTGTACCTGGAAGACTTCTGTATGTAAACGACCCTTTGCATGAGAAAGAGTAACAACAGCATTGAGCTTTGAATATGCATTGATATGTAAATTTGGGAGGTCATACTCGATGATAAATTACTTCTGAATACGCCGTTCCTGGGGAAGGATTTATACGGAGTACATCAAACCCTTTTATTTTGGAAAAGCAAGAAAAATCCTATTTTCCATGATGTGAACACAAGCGTCAACATTTTGCATTCGCACAGCCACTTGACACCTCAGCACTAATGTTCGCTCAAGGAGAAAATATATGGAAGAGAGAGAAATGTGTGAAACAAAACAGATAAAAGGCTAAAAGTGTTACGCAAGCCTCAGATCAGCAGCATTAGAAGCGTGTGGACAAGGACACACTCTCTGCTGGAGTTCTTGACAAATCATTTTGTTGGATCCAAACTCACACTTGGTAACTTGTTCTTTTATTTTTTACCGATCATTCGGTGGGTTTAAACCAGAGACTGTAAATAAAGATGGACGACGCCCCTTCACTCTCTTCCATCGGTGAAAAGTGAAGCCGCCAAAGTCCTAATATGGCGCTGACATCTTGCGCAGATTTGGGACCCGAGACCCGTGAAGTAAAGCCGCGATATCAGGGTCTCACACACACTCCCGCAGAAACCGTTAGTACAGTTCACTGCAGAACAACTCGTGTCAGTGTGAAATAAACAGTTACGGACACGTAGAAATTAAAGCTGAAGCTCCTCCCGAAAATCCCCCAAAAAGTCCGTTGGTGCCTCAGTGACTTCACTCAGAGAAGCTGTCAATCATGACGTCACATTCCCGTGTTTATAGCATCAAATATCTAACTAAGACCAAACTTATTTTAAAATAACGAACACTTGAACTTACATCAGCGTGATAAAAAACTACCTAAAATGACAGAAAATATTTTTGGAAAAAATTTATTTGAAGTGTAATTTGATTGTTTAGTTTTCATCACGTCCATTAGACTTCGTGTACCTCGTTCCCACCAAAAAAGAACTGGTGCTGGTTCAAAGTTGGTTCAAGTTGCGAACCTTCTCAGAACCTGTTTGTTTTTCCACTGACTAGAGCCCAGCGAACGCTGTCGTTACGTCACTGTGTACGTCGCCATACGTCTTAGCTTTCCCATTCCCGTCGTGTTGTTGGTCAGCTATACTAGGACCAGCCACCGGGGGGCGATCGAGACCCTTTAGCTTCACTATTCAGCACTTGTGCGGCACACTTGGTTTAAACCCATAGATATATACACTAGATGTCACCATGCGTCTAAACCGCCGCCATCTTGGAACAGGGGTCTTGTCATAGGAAGTAGCTCTAGGTAACGCTGCTTTCTCCGCCTGTACTTCGAATTCATGGATTTTCGAACTTTTGTGCTGCGTATGGATGTTTCGCACGAACAAAATCTGAACTAGGAAGAATGTTTTTAACATTTTCTCTGGACTCAATGATAAATACGTCTGACCATTGGAACGAACAAAAAAAAAGCATTCATGGCGATTTATGGTGATTTTATTTCCGTTAGACCTTTGTCTATATTGACGCTGATGCATTAAAGAGGAGGGGCTTCCCTGTCCCATGATGGCGGCTCTATTGACGCATTCGTTCCAATGAATTGCCGCAGCCAAGGCGACATCTAGTGTATATATCTATGGTTTAAACCAAGCGTGCCGCACAAGCCCTGAAAAGTGGAGCCAAAGCGTCTCGATCGCCCCCCGGTGGCCAGTCCTAGTATAGCTCATAAACCCCGCCTCCCCATGCTATTCAACCGTGAGACCAACTAAACAATTAAATTACACTTCAAATATCATTTTTCCAAAGATGGTTTCTGTCATTGACTGTAGTTTTTATCACGCTGATGTAATTTAAAGTGTTTGTTTTTAAAATAAGTTTGTTTTTAGTTAGTTATTTGATGCGGTGGTGTGACGTCATGATTGACAGCTGTGATTGACAGGTTCTCTGAGCGAAGTAGTCACTGAAGCACCAACAGACTTTTTTCGGGATCTTTGGAGGACTGAGGAGATTGGAGCTTTAAATTTAATTTCTAAATTTCTATAATTAATTTTAAAAAGGTGCAGGAGCGTGTGCTTGCGATTGATTCTGCGAGAGTGAGGGCGGGGCCTTGATTTCACGGCTTTACTTCCTGCTCACTACTTTACTTCCTGCTCACGACTTTACTTCCTGCTCACGACTTTACTTCCTGCTCACTACTTTACATCCTGCTCACTACTTTACATCCTGCTCACTACTTTACTTCCTGCTCACGACTTTACTTCCTGCGCACTACTTCACTTCCTGCGCACTACTTTACTTCCTGCTCACTACTTTACTTCCTCTTTACTTCCTGCTCACTACTTTACTTCCTGCTCACTACTTTACTTCCTGCTCAGGTCTGGTCCCGAGATCGCTACTGCGCAGACTCAAGTCCCAAGATGTCAGCGCCATATCGGGACACTGGCGGCTTCACTTCTGACCAATGGAAGAGAGCGAAGGGGCATCGTCCATATTTTTTACAGTCTATGGTTTAAACAGTAGCACTCAATAACGCCATCAAGAAACAGCGGTTTTCATTTAGTGTCAAATAAAAAATGCTTGGCATTGAACTCGCTAGACATCGCCCAAAAAAAGGATATGTATTATTTGTTCATCACTGGCCTTTTAAAAACATAACATTAATTAATTATTTAAATAAATCTTTAACTTTTTAATATTTATCGTATTAAGAAAAGTAATTATGAATTTGCATTAAATAGTTCTCATAGACTCCGAAACCCTAAAATAATCAGTACCTCTATCCTAAACCCGAGGTTATTCTCTGGCATTACACTCGTGTGTGAGCTCTGTCGGTCCTGTGGTTATAGAGCTCAGCAGATGCTGGTGTTTAGGTGCGGACTCTTCTAAAGCGCCGGCAGGACTCGTACCAGATGGTGATGTAGTCGTAGATGGGCTCGGTGTTGAGCACGGTGAAGTTGATGTGGATGCCGTTGCCTGGAGGGACTCGGATGCTCCAGATGCAGTCTTTAAGATTGGGGTAATCGGCCGGGTGTCCCGGAGAGTAGATGGTGCCGTTGAGCGCTGTGATATTACCACCGCACAGAGCTGGAGGAAGGCCAATCAAAACGGAGAATCACAATGCCTTATACAGCTGCAATAATGCAGTGACGACAAACTTAAGTTCAGTTTAATGTATGCAGAAAAGCATTCATATGCATTTACCACTGAAGCTTTTATAGAATTTACAGTAACACTTTACAATAAGGTTCGTAAGTTAACATTAGTTAACGTTATACAGCATTTATTAATCTTTGTTAATGTTAATTTCAACATTTACAAATACTTTATTCAAATCTTGTTAACATTAGTTAATGCACTGTGAACTAACATGAACAGCTGTATTTTATAAACTAATATTAACAAAGATTAACAAATACTCTAACAAATGTATTGCTCATGGTAAGTTCATGTTAGTTTATATATCACCTAATGAACCTTATTGTAAAGTGTTAACAAAACATGAAACCCTTTCTGGCCTGGTTTCACACACAGAGCTTAGATTAAGCCAGGATTAGGTCTTTTTTTTAAGTACTAAATTGAGTTATTTTTCTACACACAAAACAATGTCAAAATGCAGGTCTTGGTGAGTATTCTCGTAAACACAGTCAGTAATGTTTTAAGTGAACTTAAATAGTTAAGAAAGAAAACACGTGTAACAGTATATTGGATCCGTGCTTCATAATTAATAAAGTAAACCTAACTCAGAAATTGGGCTCTATATGAGTTCAGTGATTCAAGTCAAATGATGATTATGTTAAAACATAACCAACACCATCATATCACCTTTTCTATTTGTTCATCTGGCTGTTATAGTACAGCAGCCAAAAAAAATCTAAAGTTAATGATTTAAGGGTCAAGAGCCCAACTAAAACAAACACTGATCACCATAATGGTGACTTACAATTACGGTTTTCTCCTTCAGTGATTCTGCTTGTTAACATCAGGTGTCTTCAATGTTGGCAATCAAAAATAAAGACTTCTTAATTCATCTTTGACGTCCGTCTGTTATTCAGATATTTTTGTTTAAAAAATGTTTTGTTGTAAATTGTACTCATTTTAAATGGTTAACTTTTAAGGAATTAATTTGATTAATTATTACTCAATTCAAATTTGTTAAATTTAATTCATAATATTGCTTGTAATCTGTTGCCACATAATTTTTTTGAGTAGATATAGCGTATTCATTTTTACAGTGCAGGTCTTAAAGTGACAGCAGACAAAACACCGACTATCTTAAGCCTCGTCTGTGAAACCGGGGGAATATTTCAGTATTTTCTGTAAGAAGTGCGAGAAGACGAAAGGTTTGTTGGGTACCATCGCATCGAGGCACGGGATGGTTCCAGTTGCGGCTGATGCCATGCAAACACGTGAGCGCCGATTCGCCCAGAAGTGTGTATCCCGGCAGGCACTGGAACGAGATGGTCATTCCCACGCCGAAATCACTGCCGATCACCAGTCCGTTCCGGAAGGGCCGCGGATCCGGACACCTCTGCAGCTCATAAGCTGAACACACAAGCAAACACTGTGTTACTTACTTATGATTTAATCCAGTGAGAAGCCATAATGAACACCAATGTCAATTATATAGCAGGGGAGTGTTGGGTGTAACAAATTATAAGTAATGTAATCTGATTACTTTTTACAGATTACTTCAATGTTTTCATTAAAGAAAGCCTCTGTGCATTACTTCCGATTTCCTTTAACGTGGGGACAGGAGAGCTGTCAGTTACTCAGTTGATAAAGTAACTCAGATATATTGTTGTACATTTAAACCTGCCAAATGCCGGTGTATTTCAGTAGTGGCGTGTAACTCCTATAGCGACTCACATTAGCGGGTTACTTCACATAAAGCCGCCTCTGAGCACTAAATTTAGTTATTTTTTGCTAGTTATTATGCTTGAACAGTCAAATAATACACAAAAAATAATGTCAAAATGCCGGTCTTAGCAAGTATTTTCAGTGAAAGTAAACAGGTGAGAAAGTAAATGAATGTGTAACAGTATAATGGATCTGTGCGTCAGGTCTTAAAGTGACAGTAACCTAATAAACCTGCTGACACAAGGAACACCAATGTCAATTATATAGTGGGGCAATGTCGGATGTAACAAATTACTTTTTTACAGATTACTTCAATGTTTTCATTAAAGAAAGCCTCTGTTTCTCTCAACATGTGGACAGGAGAGCTGTCAGTTACTCAGTTGATAAAGTAACTCAGATATATTGTTGTATATTTAAAAGCAGTGTTGAGTGTAACACATTACAAGTTACATACTCAGATTACCTTTTTATCAAGTAACATCCTCTAACTTTCATTAACTTGACATTAAAACCTAATAAAAGCATCCAAACAAAGGCACCTATTGAAAATGAACATGTACATTTGATTGTGCAGGAACTTCTCCTATGGCTTATAGAAATTATGGAAGACAAAGTTCTAAACTAGTTTAGTTTAATTTCAATAAACGTATTGTCCATGATGTGGAAAATGCTTAGACTATAATTATTAATGAAAGCATAAAATAACTTTGGATTTAATATTCTAATTCTAAGTAATTTAGAAAACATAAAGAGTCATAATTATCATCTAAAATGAAATGTCTAAACTTAGCAGACTGGCCACACACACACACACACAAAAGCAATAAATATGTTGTGACTAATAGTGAAACGTTCTGTCAAGGCAAGCGGTTTCACTGAGGATGAGAGCTTCTATTTATTACTTCAAACCCTCAAGTGAAGAGACACATCTTACTGTTCAGGAACCATAAAGTCAGAATACTGACACATTCCTGCTGTCTAAACCACAAAGACACAAGGGGTGGAATATAAAAATAGACTTTTAAAACTTCTTAATAAATCTTGCTAGGGATTTCAGGGTGGTTGTCAGATGAAACCCGTCTAAAGGGCCGTTCACAACAAAAACAAAAACAATAACTATAACTATATTAGCATCCACACATATCGTTCTGTAAATTCTGTGTATGTCTCTTTAAATGCACATGCTCTTTAAAGCAGGGTGGATTATGATTGGCTGTCAATGAACGATTTTTAGAGCTATATCTTTATTTTTATATGTGCGAGTGAATCCGTAATCACTTACTAAAGTAAAAGCACACCTGTCTTCAGGACATCATTCATGAACAAAAGGGAAGAGTTTAACACTTGGATCTGCTTGAATCTCTAATCATACAGTATTAGCAATAGTTAAAGGAATGGTTGATTATGATTTCAATCTTCTAACTTTAGTTAGTGTGTAATGTTGCTGTTTGAGCATAAACAACATGTGCAAAGTTACAACGCTCAAAGTTCAAAGCAAAGGGAGATATTTTCTTTGACAGAAATCACTTTTTAAGGACTACAACAAACGGCTGGTAGGAACTACAATGAGCTTCTTCAAGGGTTAGTGACATCACTAACCCTAAAATTTACATAAACCCCGCCCCCGGAACACGATTTATAGATTATGATGACAGAATATGCTAATCAATAACTAGAAGATAGTTAACTCCACATAAGCTTCATAAATTCATCAACTAACATTCAGAAATTTCCTGTTGCTTCTACATGTTGTCACTTCTTCTTGAGTCTCTCCATCTTTGTCTGACTCCGGTTTGAACATAAAAGCCTAAAAGTTTTTGAAATGTTCAGTGCATGTGTATGTGAGGTAATCAGAGCTGCTAACACACACACACACACACACACACACACACAAGCTCTTGAAGCTCCGCCCCTGTGCCGGGAGCAGCAGCTCATTTGCATTTAAAGGAACAGACACAAAAACTGTGTGTTTTTGCTCACCCTCAAAAAGTGACAATTTTAACATGCTTAAAAAATATCTGTGGGGTATTTTGAGCTAAAACTTCACATACACACTCAGGGGACATCAGAGACTCATTTTACTTCTTGTGAAAAGGGCATTTTAGGACGCCTTTAAGCTATCCTTAGATAACAGTACAGTCGAAATGGTGCTGTTAATTGAAAAGACACTGCTGTTAGTTTTAGTGCTGTGTTTTAATGCTGTGCTGTAGTTGTTTGCATGGTCAAATCCTCTCAGAAAAGCTGCGTCTTTAAATTCATCCCATTGAAAGCACCACAGCTGGACATACACATTCCTTCAAGCAAATTAATTATACAGGGCTTTCCCGCTAAGACCGATCCGTCGTTCAGGCACTTCTGGATATGTTGGAGCTGCACGAGGATGGATAGAATATGCTTGTGGACGTGCGTTGACTGAACTCAAAGAAAACAATTGGTTATATTCTTTATCCTGTTATTGCGAGAAGGGGTGTAACAGTGTGTGTCCACTGCAAAAAAAATGAAAATCTGTGAAATTTACGGTAGCAACATTTTAGGTTTTACAGACTTTACTTAAATTTACAGTAACAAAGCATATTTCAGTATCTGATATAAAGTTAATGTACCGATCTATTGAAGTACTAATATCTGTTTTGTACCACTGTAATACACTGACAACAACCAATCACAGCGGAGATGAGAGTCACATGATGAATCAAAGCTTTTCCACAAGATGAGAAAGTTAATATTAATATACAGAAGCTGCACAGTCATTCACACAAACACTGAACACCATCATAACACTCACGACATTTTAAAAATGCAATAAACATTAATTTAACAACATTAAATGTAACATAAAACCCTAATGTACCTGATTAGAAAAAAAAAAGTTATGAAGAAACATATTTCAACAAAAATACATCAAATGTGAAGCGTCACGCAGGGAATTGTGGGAATGTCAATTTACGGTTTTTCACTGTAAACTATACAATGACTTGTTCTTTTTCACTTCCAAAAACTGTAAATTTAACGGTATTTTAAATGTACGGTTAGATCTATCACAGTTATTCACCGTATAGTACAGAAACTTTGTTAACCAATTAACAGTTTTTCACCGTAGCATTTTTACAGTCTTTTACCGTTAAAATCAGGATAATGTTTTACAGTGTCTGGCCAGGTTCAGTAATATCTAATCCGGCTTACCCTCGTAGGTGATGTGGAAGCCGGGCTTGTTCTGCGAGTAGTCGCTGTGAAAGAAGAAGCTCGTCTCGTGGGTCGTGCTGAAGAAAGACTCGGGAACAGCAGGCCCACTGAACCTGTCGATCACCGAACCCGAATCCAGCGTCCCGCCGCGCACTTCCAGGTAATCGTGAACAGACTCCGTGGAGAAGTTCAGGAACTGCAGGTGAATCCCTGTCCATGAACAACAGGAGGAGAGATGAGGAGTATTTTAACAACGAGATGCTCGAAGAAAAGAAGAAAAATGGGTTATACTTTACAATTAGGCTCATTACTTAACATTAGCTAATGTATTAACTACACTCTGGAAAATGATGGGTTGTTTCAACCCAAATTTGGGTCAAATATGGACAAACCCAGCCATTGGGTTAATTTTTTAATCCAATGGTTGGATTCGTCCATATTTGACCCAAATTTGGCTTGAAACAACCCTGCGTTTTCTAGAGTGTAAAATGAACTAACCATGAATTGTTACTGAATTCATTAATCTTTGTTAATGTTAGTTAATAAAAATACAGCTGTTCTATGTTTGTTCATGTTAGTTCACAGTGCATTAACTAATAAGATTTTAATAAAATATTAGTAAATGTTGAAATTAACATTAATAAAAGATTAATAAATGCTGTATACGTGCAGTTCATTATTATTTCATGCTAAGTAATGTAGTTATGTAATGTTAACTAACGGACACAAGGATACAAACGAAAGTTACAGGATACAAACGAAAGTTACAGGTTCAAACGAAAGTTACAGGATACAAACGAAAGTTACAGGATACAAACGAAAGTAAAAGGATACAAACGAAAAAGTTACAGGATACAAACGAAAGTTACAGGATACAAACGAAAGTAAAAGGATACAAACGAAAGTTACAGGATACAAACGAAAGTTACAGGATACAAACGAAAGTAAAAGGATACAAACGAAAAAGTTACAGGATACAAACAAAAGTGAAAGGATACAAACGAAAGTGAAAGGATACAAACGAAAAAGTTACAGGATACAAACGAAAGTTACAGGATACAAACGAAAGTTACAGGATACAAACGAAAGTTACAGGATACAAACAAAAGTTACAGGATACAAACAAAAGTAAAAGGATACAAACGAAAGTTACAGGATACAAACGAAAGTTACAGGATACAAACAAAAGTTACAGGATACAAACGAAAGTAAAAGGATACAAACGAAAAAGTTAGAGGATACAAACGAAAGTTACAGGATACAAACGAAAGTAAAAGGATACAAACGAAAAAGTTACAGGATACAAACGAAAGTAAAAGGATACAAACGAAAAAGTTACAGGATACAAACGAAAGTAAAAGGATACAAACGAAAAAGTTACAGGATACAAACGAAAGTTACAGGATACAAACGAAAAAGTTACAGGATACAAACGAAAGTTACAGGATACAAACCAAAGTTACAGGATACAAACCAAAGCCGACGGGAAGTTTAACCGTCCAGTTGCAGTCAAGCCCACTGGGATAATTCCCAGGAAAACCGGGACTCAGGATAACTCCATTCATTTCGGACAGGAATCCTCCACACTGAGCTGGAGAGTCGAGAGGCAACAGAGAGTCAGTGACGAACATGCACACAATACTGGATCATACACGCAATGTACAGTTGATTATCAAACAGATATTCATCAAGTCCAAACTCCATTACAGATCTAGTGATAGACAAAAATATCTAATTTGCACACTTGTGTTCTCTCTTCATATATATTTTAAATGACATCATGAATTTACACTTCAATATTGTTGAACACTTCATATTGTTGTGATGAAACACATGAAACAATGAAATCAAATTAGATGAAACAACACAAATTCAGTTCTAAATTAAATCAAGGTTAAGTTTTGAATCCACATTCAATTGCTCAATTTAAGGAAGTAGCATTAAAATGGAATTAAACAAAAATAAAACAATGAATTATCTTTCAGTTCATAAAATGAAACTACAAATTCAGTGTTCTACATTTAATCGAGCTTAACTTTTAAATCAAAAGTCAATTGCTGAATTTAAGGAAGTAGAATTAAAATAGAATTAAATAAAAATAAAACAATAAATAAACTATTTTTCAGTTTCCAGTATCATGCAATGTAAAGCCCAATGCAATACTGAGAGAGAGAAACGATCAGATATTCATCAAGTCCAAACTCCATTACGGATCTAGTGATATGCAAAATGAACTCATTTGCACATATAAGAGAGCCTCGTGTTCTGTCTTCATATAAATAACAATGCAATGATGTGCAATAAGAAATGCTTTCAAATGCTAATGGAATAAATGTGCAGCGTTCATTTTGAGAAAATGATACATGTGTTATGTTTTCTCATAATGACTTTTTAAATTATTACCAGTATAGAACTCACTGGGATTGAAGACTGAAGTATATCCTCTTTATTTTACTGCGGTGTGTGTGTGTGTGTGTGTGTGTGCGTATCTCCCTGCTTGTGTTTGCATTCGTCTTATTGGCGAGTGTGTAATGAATGGCCTGTTGGACTCGCTGTCCATTTACAGTGCTTTAGAACAGCAATTGAAATGTCAATAGAGAACATCGAATCTTCTGTTTGCCCTGAAGGAGTTCGAATCAATTACACTTCAAGTGTCATTCTTTAAAACACAGTCATGGTGAATGTCAACAACCGAGTCATGGTACAACCCATCAATTTCAGCAAGTAGAATTAAAATGGAATTAAATTTAAATAAAAACAATAAAAAAGTATTTTTCAGTTCATAAGATGAAACACCACAAATTCAGTGTTCTAAATTAAATTGTGCTGTGTTATTTCTATATAAAAATGTCAAAAGATTATAAAGTATTTGCTCTGGCTCTTGTTTTAAATGATTTTGTTCCGTTGTCGTCCTCTGTTGACGTTCTACAAGCAGAATGTGGCGGTTGGTCGGTGTGGAATTAGCCCCGCCCCTCCTCCACTGTGATTGGACGGCTGTGTAAAAGGTGCCTAACTTTTACATTTAAATTCAATTGCTGAATTTAAAGCTGCAGTCCGGCATTTTTCCTCTTTGTCACCATCTCTGTTTGAAATCTGTAATTGCACTTATTCGCGGAATTATTAACTTTGCGTGAGTTGCACATCGGCATGAAACAGCGCGGATGAACACAATGTTTTGAGACTGCGAGTCTGTCAGTCACCGCGCCGATGTGGAAACTGGCATTCAGAATCACACATTCTACTTTTGGAAGTAGGCCTACAGTATGACCATGACAACATACGAATTTTCATCGGAAAATGTCATCTGAACAAGTAAGTAACATCCACATCAACTAAGGGGGGAAAGCCTTGCAGTAAATCGTGCTGATTAAATATAACGATCGCGTCAAACCTTTCAAATTATACTTTGTTCTCAAATTATCAACATCAGCATTGTGACTACATTTATTGTGTATTATGATTACCCTGTAGTTCAGTTTCTATTTCTGTGCAGTCTATTTTCTAATTGTCATACCAATAAATTAATGTTTCTTTACTGGTTTTCTTTGAGAAAAAAAGAAAAGAAAAAAAAACACGTATCTGTAATCCGATGCATATTTAAAACTATATATAATTTCGGAGGAGGCCGGTTTGGTTTGCTTGGAGTAGAGGTGAATTGCTCCCTCTCATAGCTAGCTCAAAATATTTACCATAATAGCTAAACGAATAAAGACAGGAAACTCCGTAACTGTGTGAATTAAGCGAACAAGTGTGCTACTGTTACACGATTGAACTATTGAAATGTCTTACCTGTCCTAAAAGAAAAAAAGCCGTCTCTGCGTCCGTTTTGAACCGATGTTTATCCTTGTTTTCGCGTGGGCCAGTTGCAGTCTCTTTTTTCTCTAACGTTACCCACTCCGAAGTCCGAATTATTTGGGGTTTTACAAGTGGTGAATGTCCAGTTGTCACTGGTGATTGTCGTTTGAACCTTTCTGGATCCGCCATAAGTTTAATTATTTAATGCTGTGAGAAAAGGCTAAAAATGTCCACCTCCAACATCCTCACGCAATATAGCCGACTAGCCGGGACGCCTTCTTTATGTGTACAGATGTGACGTAATGACGCAAAGACATGCTCGAATTTCCCGCGGAAATCCACCAGTACCACTGGAATTAAAATCATTATTACAAGCTAACCGTTTTGAATCGGGCAAAAGCAAGCAGATATTTTTGAACACTGGCTGGTTATGTTTTTTTTAATTATTATTATTTTGGATAATTTTTAACCCAAAAAAGTTACGGACAGCAGCTTTAAGGGAGTAGAATTAAAATGGAATTAAATTCAAATAAAACAATATTTTTTTTCTGATTATAAAATGAAATGCCACTAATTCAGTGTTCTAAATTAATTTGAGCTTAACTTTTAAATCCACATTTAATTGCTCAATTTAAGGAAGTAGAATTAAAATGGAAAAACAACAAATACATTTTTTCAGTTCATAAGATGAAACACCAGAAATTCAGTGTTCTAAATTAATTTGAGCTCAACTTTTAAATCCACATTGAATTGCTCAATTTAAGAAAGTAGAATTAAAATGGAATTATATTCAAATAAAACAACAAATACATTTTTTTTCAGCTCATAAGATGAAACACCAGAAATTCAGTGTTCTAAATTAATTTGAGCTTAACTTTTAAATCCACATTCAATTGCTCAATTTAAGGAAGTAGAATTAAAATGGAATTGTATTCAAATAAAACAACAAATACATTTTTGTCAGCTCATAAGATGAAACACCAAAAATTCAGTGTTGTATATTAATTTGAGCTTAACTTTTAAATCCACATTCAATTGCTCAATTTAAGGAAGTAGAATTAAAATGGAATTGTATTCAAATAAAACAACAAATAATTTTTTTTTCAGCTCATAAGATCAAACACCAGAAATTCAGTGTTCTATATTAATCTGAGCTTAACTTTTAAATTAAAATTCAATTGCTCAATTTAAGGAAGTAGAATTAAAATGGAATTAAATTCAAATAAAACAATATTTTTTTTCTGATTATAAAATGAAATGCCACAAATTCAGTGTTCCAAATTAATTTGAGCTTAATTTTTAAATCCACATTCAATTGCTCGATTTAAGGAAGTAGAACTAAAATAGAAATATTTTCATATAAAACAACAAATACCTTTTTTTCAGTTCATAAGATGAAACACCAAAAATTCAGTGTTCTATATTAATTTGAGCTTATCCTTTAAATCCAAATTCAATTGCTCAATTTAAGGAAGTAGAATTAAAATGGAATTATATTCAAATAAAACAACAAATACATTTTTTTTCAGCTCATAAGATGAAACACCAAAAATTCAGTGTTCTATATTAATTTGAGCTTATCCTTTAAATCCAAATTCAATTGCTCAATTTAAGGAAGTAGAATTAAAATGGAATTATATTCAAATAAAACAACAAATACATTTTTTTCAGTTCATAAGATGAAACACCAAAAATTCAGTGTTCTATATTAATTTGAGCTTAACTTTTAAATCCAAATTCAATTGCTCAATTTAAGGAAGTAGAATTTAAATGGAATGAAATGTGAAAAAAATTAAATAGCAAACAAATGAAACAATTTAATTGTTCATTAACACATGTTATAATACACACAACATATTTCAAAATCATTAGATGATATAAATCATGCCTGAAATATATTGAAAATTAATATTTTCATTTATTTAATTTTATTTTATGGATCTGCGTGTAAGAATCCCAGAGCAATTCCAGCGTTACATTTGCAGTGAAAATGTGAATTGTAACTTCTCAGATTGAAATTAAAACGTGCTTTTCCCTCCATGTTACGGTTAACTCTTTAGAATAACCACTTGAATTCCCCACGAAAATCTTCAAAATAGAACGAAATATCAACATCTTCAAAGTCAAAGTTATCAATAACACTTAGTTAACATCAGTTAATGCATTAACGAGAAGTCCATTAAATAATATACAACTTTTTTTTACAAGTTTTTAAGAATATATTTGTAAATGCTGCAATCAACTCAGATTAATAAATGCTTTAGAAGTGTGTATGATGTGCTAGTTCTTGCTAACTAATGCAGTTAACAAACTAACAAATGGAAACTTACTGTAAAGTTATACGGTGGACATTTTACAGTACTGTACACAGCAATATTTTCATATTTTAATTGTAGAAGTATGCATAATGAGTTTTGCAAAATGTACATCTATTAGAAGTAGACTTGCACTATTGCTGGATTACAGATGTATATATTGTCACTTAACCTGAGGTCTCGCCTTGCTCTTTCACTGCATGAAGAGCATTAGACGGAGAGAAACGTGCGAGCGATGGAAACACGAGAGGAGGTTTAAGGGCGGCTAATAGATTTCAACAAAAGAGAGACTGTAAGAAGGAAGATTAGACCGAACACGACCTGAAAGATGGAGCCTGAAGAAAGCTTTTCATGTTCATTTGAGTAAAGTGATCTCCAGAGGCAGAGCGCTCTCTCTCTCTCGCTGTGACGAACACTGACACACTGAATCTAATCAGAGGAAGCGGCTCGACTAACAGGACACACTCCTGCGGAGGATCTTTACTATAGATATCATCAGACTTCAGATGACCAAACTCTATGGCAAGCCATTTTAACTTTTATTCATTTCCAGGATATGAATACTTGATATCAACAATTCAATTTTCACTAGTTAAAATTATAATTATTGATATCAGGAATAATATTTCTACTAGTAACAATGCTAATTCTTGACATCAACATTTACATTTTCACTAGTTAAAATGATAATTCTTGATATCAACAATTGAATTGCAACTAGTAAAAACTATAATTCTTGATATCTGTAATTGTATTTTCACTAGTGAAATGTCACCATAGGCTGCCATTCAAAATCAATTCTTGATATCAAGAATTTATTTCTTACTAGTTGAAATTCTAATTTCACATATCAGAAATACAATTCTTACTAGTAAAAACCTTTATTTTTGATATCAAGAATTCAATCGTCACTAGTTGAAATGTCTATTCTTGATATCAACAATTGAATTGCTACTAGTAACAATGTACATTTTTGATATCAATAATTCAATTTTCACTAGTGACAATGCTAATTTCTGATATCATGAATGTGATTGTTACTAGTAAGAAAGACATTTTAAATATCTGAAATAATATTGATATCAGAAATACATTTTCAGATATCAAAAATGAAAAATTTTACTAGTAGCAATTCAGTTGTTGATATCAAGAATAGACATTTAGACTAGTAAGAAATCAATTCTTGATATCAACAATTGATTTTGAATGGCAGCCTATGGTGACACTTCACTAGTGAAAATACAATTGTTGATATCAAGAATTCATATCCTGGAAATGAATAAAAGTTAAAACGGCTTGCCATATTACTATAGATATCATCAGACTTCAGATGACCAAACTCTATGGCAAGCCCTTTTTAACTTTTATTCATTTCCAGGAGATGAATTGTGGATATCAACAATTGTATTTTCACTAGTGAAGTGTCACCATAGGCTGCCATTCAAAATCAATTGTTGATATCAAGAATTGATTTCTCACAAGTAGAAATATAATTTTTGATATCAATAATTACATTGTTACTAGTAAAAATGCGAATTCCTGATCTCAATAATTAAATTGTCACTAGTCTAAATGTCTATTCTTGATATTAACAATTGAATTGCTACTAATAAAAATGTTCATTTTTGAGATCAATATTATTTCAGATATCTAAAATGGCTTTCTTACTAGTAACAATCACATTCATGATATCAGAAATTAACATTGCCACTAGTGAAAATTGAATTCTTGATATCAAAAATGAACATTGTTACTAGTAGCAATTCAATTGTTGATATCAAGAATAGACATTTCAACTAGTGACAATTGAATTCTTGATAGCAAAAATAAAGGTTTTTACTAGTACGAATTGTATTTCTGAAATGTGAAATAGTAAGAAATAAATTCCTGATAACAACAATTGATTTTGAATGGCAGGCTATGGTGACACTTCACTAGTGAAAATACAATTACAGACATCAAGAATTATAGTTTTTACTAGTTGCAATTCAATTGTTGATATCAAGAATTATCATTTTAACTAGTGAAAATGTAAATGTTGATATCAATAATTAGCATTGTTACTAGTAGAAATATTATTCCTGATATCAATAATTATCATTTTTAACTAGTGAAAATTGAACTCTTGATATCAAGGATTCATATCCTGGAAATGAATAAAAGTTCAAACGGCTTGCCATACAAACTCTGCATCAACACGCACCAATGCCACATTTTTATAAATGTCATAATCATACACGTATTCATTACTTCAATGAGCTCATTGTTTCTGCCTTAAATTATTACATTGTTTAAATTAATACATTTTTCGCTAACTGTGATTTTGTATATGTACATTTCTGAAATACATAACTCAGACAGTTTCCTCTGATAACACATTGTAATGTGGATTCATGAATTTTCTGTAAAGCTGCTTTGAAATGATGCGTGTTGTGAAAAGCGCTATACAAATAAATGTGAATTGAATTATAGACTTAAAAATGCCTGATTTAATCCATTCCAATGGCTTATACAGTCATTTGGGATGAATAGATAAGGATTGTTAAAGTCCACGTTAACCGGAAATTGCAACCGACCTCAGTATATTCTGAGTGAAATGGAATATTGAATGATAAATTGATAAATAAAATAAAAATGATAAATATTGTGAAAAGCGCTATACAAATAAATGTGAATTGAATTGGAGAATTGAGATTACCAAGAAGCAAAGCAGTGGAAATGCTCTCAGTGAAAAGTGTTTGTGTGTGTGTGTGTGTGTGTGTGTGTGTGTGTGTGTGTGTGTGTGTGTGTGTGTGTGTGTGTGTGTGTGTGTGTGTGTGTGTGTGTGTGTGTGTGTGTGTGACGTACCCAGACACAGAGGAGTGGGGTAGTTCCAGCGTCTGACGGGTCCCGGCATGCATGTTATATACGCACTTCCCTGCAAACGGTGGAAATGAAGAAAGATATTGACTTTTCCAAGAAGCTCTCACCAATTCCACAGAAAGATGAATCACTCGTAGGAAACGAATCATTCAACGTGCCACAAAAATATGAAAGCCTTGGCGCTGTGAATGAATCTCGGGCACTTTTAGAAATAAACTTCCTTTTATGAACAAACACTTTTAACAAAGTATAAATGCAATCGCAGAAGAAAGTGTGTTTTGTTTCCTGAAATAACTAATGAAAACTTTCAGCACATTTTAAACGAGCTGAAGCGATGCAACTACAAAATGACAAAAGCATATAACGAAATGACTACAAATTTCATTTAAGTGAAAACTAAAAACATCTTATATTAAACATGCTGATGCGATGCTTTCATTCTAAACACATTTTGCATAATTTTACAAAATTACAGTGAGAGAAATGATAATTTCATAGCTAATGTTTCATAAATATATTAAAACCATTTCTGTTAACTGAACTAAATAAAATATAAATATTAGGCTTATTTGAAAAACTTGAACTAAACGAAAATGAGCATTAAAACTGGAAGACATTTTTTAAGTTGAAGCACTAAAATTATTCACTGGAAATAAATAAAAACTAAAATCAAAATAACGTAAAACTACACAACACGGCAATATTAAAAATAAAATAAAAAACAATAAAATGACTAAAAGCACAATGAAATTACATTTTTTTTGTTAAAATGTACATGAAAAGAATATAAGAATACAAAAATAAAAGCTAATACAAAATATTAATAAAACTATCAAATAAAAACTAAAATAACACTGATTCTAAATACACACAAATATTTTCACTCTTTTGGCTTTTTTAAATTTTTTATACAAAATTATGATTACAAAAAATGAAAAGGGGGGGAAATTGTTGGTCGTGGTGACAATGATTGAGAGAACTAAAAAGAGAGTCACATAAAAAGAAAAAATAACTTATTTCACTCTTTTAGATTATCAACTTTAAAAATCTCAGTTAATATCTTATGATGCACTTTCATATTCTAAGACCAAAAGTCTGGAGTAAAAACAATAGAATCTCCACTTAAAAAGCCTTTGAAAAGTAGAGAACGGAAAATAAAATCCATTTTACTTAAAACTCAACCCCTGGGACAAATAAGTGCTCATAATTGAACAAAACAAAGTCCTTTTTGATTGACTGCCACTCTTCTGAAAGATTTTCTGAAATGAACGCACAGCAGCAATAAGCCAAAACGAGCATTAAAAAGCTTTTCAGAAAGAGTGCAAATGTCTCTGAAATGAATCACGAATCCCCCGTCACCTTCAGTGTGTATCCCTGCTCGCAGTGGAAGGAGACGACGTCCCCCACGAGGTATCGCTCGCCCACCTTCACTCCGCTGCTGGGGGTCTGTGGCTCCGGGCAGGAGTCCAGACCTATTGCTTAGGACACAGGACACTCGCATGTTCACCAACACAAGCGCTTACACTGCGAGATGCAGACGAGCCCGTGACAGAAGCCAGTCATGATGTTACGGTGCTCGTATAAATCAAGCAATTCAATAACTCACGGTCGTTTCTGGCAGGGGTTCCCGAACCTTTTTGCCAGCCGAACCCCTCTGACATACAAAGCACCTCCTGAGAAGTAACGGTCTTTGCACACTGAGTGTGAAATTTTCGTATGCGTTTTTTCGTATTCGTCATTCGGCGGCTGTGAATTGTCAAAATAGCACTCTAAATGCTTGCTACGGATGCGAAAAAACGCAGAAAATCAAACCCGATCCGAATTTCTTTATGACGGATGAGAGTTTCTGAGGCGGTGTGTAAGCGTTATTGACACAACGTGAGGGAGTATGTATTTTTTAATGTGCGAAAATTTCCAACGCTATCTCACGACCAATTTGTACGAATTCTTGAGTAAAAGGTGGCTAAATCGTACGAATTTGTGAGTAAAAGGTGACTAAATTGAGTAAAAGGTGGCTAAATCGTACGAATTCGTGAGTAAAAGGTGGCTAAATTGTACGATTTCGCGAGTAAAAGGTGGCTAAATCGTACGAATTCGTGGCTAAATCGTACGAATTCGTGAGTAAAAGGTGGCTAAATTGTACGAATTCGTGAGTAAAAGGTGGCTAAACTGAGTAAAAGGTGGCTAAATCGTACGAATTCTTGAGCAAAAGGTGGCTAAATCGTACAAATTATTGAGTAAAAGGTGGCTAAATCGTACAAATTCATGAGTAAAAGGTGGCTAAATTTAGTAAAAGGTGGCTAAATTGTACGAATTCGTGAGTAAAAGGTGGCTAAATCGTACGAATTCGTGAGGAAAAGGTGGCTAAATTGAGTAAAAGGTGGCTAAATTGTACGAATTCGTGAGGAAAAGGTGGCTAAATTGAGTAAAAGGTGGCTAAATCGTACAAATTCTTGAGTAAAAGGTGGCTAAATCGTACAAATTCATGAGTAAAAGGTGGCTAGATTTAGTAAAAGGTGGCTAAATTGTACGAATTCGTGAGGAAAAGGTGGCTAAATTGAGTAAAAGGTGGCTAAATTGTACGAATTCGTGAGTAAAAGGTGGCTAAATTGTACGAATTCGTGAGTAAAAGGTGGCTAAATTGAGTAAAAGGTGGCTAAATCGTACGAATTCTTGAGTAAAAGGTGGCTAAATCGTACGAATTCTTGAGTAAAAGGTGGCTAAATTGTACGAATTCGTGAGGAAAAGGTGGCTAAATTGTACGAATTCGTGAGGAAAAGGTGACTAAATTGAGTAAAAGGTGGCTAAATTGTCCGAATTCGTGAGTAAAAGGTGGCTAAATTGAGTAAAAGGTGGCTAAATCGTTCGAATTCTTGAGTAAAAGGTGGCTAAATTGTACGAATTGGTGAGTAAAAGGTGGCTAAATTGTATGAATTCGTGAGTAAAAGGTGGCTAAATCGTACGAATTCGTGAGTAAAAGGTGGCTAAATTGAGTAAAGGGTGGCTAAATTGTACTAATTCGTGAGTAAAAGGTGGCTAAATTGTACGAATTCTTGAGTAAAAGGTGGCTTAATTGTACGAATTGGTGAGTAAAAGGTGGCTAAATTGTACGAATTCTTGAGTATTCTTGCTGGTGGCTAAATTGACTAAAAGGTGGCTAAATCGTACGAATTCGTGAGTAAATGGTGGCTAAATTGTACGAATTCGCGAGTAAAAGGTGGCTAAATCGTACGAATTCGTGGCTAAATCGTACGAATTGGTGAGTAAAAGGTGGCTAAATCGTACGAATTGGTGAGTAAAAGGTGGCTAAATCGTACGAATTCGTGAGTAAAAGGTGGCAAAATTGTACGAATTCTTGAGTAAAAGGTGGCTAAATTGTACGAATTCGTGAGTAAAAGGTGGCTAAATCGTACGAATTCGTGAGTAAAAGGTGGCTAAATTGAGTAAAGGGTGGCTAAATTGTACGAATTCGTGAGTAAAAGGTGGCTAAATTGTACGAATTCTTGAGTAAAAGGTGGCTAAATTGTACGAATTGGTGAGTAAAAGGTGGCTAAATTGTACGAATTCTTGAGTATTCTTGCTGGTGGCTAAATTGACTAAAAGGTGGCTAAATCGTACGAATTCGTGAGTAAAAGGTGGCTAAATTGTACGAATTCGCGAGTAAAAGGTGGCTAAATCGTACGAATTCGTGGCTAAATCGTACGAATTCGTGAGTAAAAGGTGGCTAAATCGTACGAATTTGTGAGTAAAAGGTGGCTAAATCGTACGAATTTGTGAGTAAAAGGTGGCTAAATTGTACGAATTCTTGAGTAAAAGGTGGCTAAATTGTACGAATTCGTGAGTAAAAGGTGGCTAAATCGTACGAATTTGTGAGTAAAAGGTGACTAAAGTGAGTAAAGGGTGGATAAATTGTACGAATTCGTGAGTAAAAGGTGGCTAAATTGTACGAATTCTTGAGTAAAAGGTGGCTAAATTGTACGAATTGGTGAGTAAAAGGTGGCTAAATTGTACGAATTCTTGAGTATTCTTGCTGGTGGCTAAATTGACTAAAAGGTGGCTAAATCGTACGAATTCGTGAGTAAAAGGTGGCTAAATTGTACGAATTCGCGAGTAAAAGGTGGCTAAATTGTACGAATTCGTGAGTAAAAGGTGGCTAAATCGTAAGAATTCGTAACAAGACTTTAATGAAACTATAAAGATAATTATAATGATAAGTATAACGATAAGTATAAAGTATAAAACAAGACTATAAAGACTATAAACTATATTACGTCGTACAGCTGACTATAACGATAGGTGTAATGATAAGTATAACAAGACTATAAAGATAACGATAATATATAAATATAACTATAATGTTAACTATATTAGCAACCAAAACAGCTGATTATAACAATAACAATAAGTATAACAAGACTATAAAGGTAACGTTAACAGTAAATATAGCTATTATGATAACTATATATTAGCATCCAAAACAGCTGACTATAACGATAAGTATAACGATGATGATAATATATAAATATAACTAAAATGATAACAATATTAGTATCCAAACTACCTGACTATAATAAGTATAACGATAAGTATAACAAGAGTATAAATAATGTTAACTATAAAAATAGCTATAACGATAACTATATTAATGTCCAAACCAGCTGACTATAATAACTACAAGTATAACAAGATTATAAAGATAACGATAATATATAAATATAGCTGTAACGATAACTATTTAAGCATCCAAAATAAAAGTTTGTTTACATAATACTGTATGTGTGTGTACTGTGTATAATTAAATACACACACATGTGCATGTATATATTTAAGAAATATTTGCATGTATATATTGTACATAATTTATATTATATATAAAAATATATATTTTATATATAAATAAAATACATGCATATTGTGTGTATTTATATATATAAAATAATTATACACAGTACACACACATATATTATGTAAACAAGCTATTTTGGATGTGATTAATCGTTGTCCAGCTGTGATAAGAAGCTTCGGTGAGCTCAGGGTCCCTGGAGGTGAACATCATACCTGTGTACTCCAGGTGGAAGCCGGCTCCGGAAACGCTCATGTCGGTCTGGAAGGTGAGGTACAGGTTGTTGGACGTGGTGTTCAGCAGGGGAGGGATCGTCGTCCCTGAAGGGATTTGCATTAGAAAAAATGTGGTTTGCATGACAGGCATAACAGCACATTATTCCCTACAGCTCCCGGTGGGATTGTGACATTCCTTCACCAGGTTTCTACGGATGTCATTCAAGCATGTCAGCAGGTTTATGGAGTCGCTAGATCTACTGATGAAGTGCTGTCGCTGTAAACGGGACATATCATGAAAATCTGACTTTCCCCGTGTGTAAGTGCTATAATCGGGTGCATCGACCAACACAGACACAGTGAAACCCAGTAACTTTGTTTTGAGTCTTTCTCTGCAAGCATGTTATAAAATAAGCCGATCAGATTTCTGCCGTATGAAGAGGATGTTATTATAATATTCCCGGCCCTTAATCTGCACGTTCACACACACCAGCGACATTGGGTTCGGCGAGCGCCAACAGAGACCAGTTCTAACGCACTGGAGAAGATCCAGCAAAGCCTGAAACTGTTCTGTGGTCGAGCACAGACGACACTGAACACTATTGACCAGAACATGTCAGCGCTGTCTTATAAACACCTCAGGAACTGTGGACACTTGTGGAAGAGTTCAACATGATGAGGAGATGATCAGTGTAACTCCACAACAACTACAGAAATGTCTCCGCTAACATTCAGAAACGTGTAAAAGTGAAGCTCTCCCTGAGTCTCTCCGTAAGGCTGCACTCGCTGCTGTTACTCCTGATTCTGGATCAGTGAGATCGGCCTGTGTTGTTATTGCCGGAGTCTCTGAAGCTCCGCCCTCTTCTGAACGGAGGCGGAGCTAAAGCTCATTTGCATTTAAAGGGACACACACAAAAACGGCGTGTTTTTGCTCACACCCAAAAAGAGGCAAATTTGACACGCTATAATAAATGATCTGTGGGGATTTTGAGCTGAAATTTCACAGACACATTCTGGGGACGCCATAGATTTATATTACATCTTGTGAAAAGGGCCATAATGTCACCTTTAAAGTTGGGTCACATCCACCTAATAATCCTGAAAGTACATCTGGCCACACAACAAGACAGATCAGACCTATAGCGGTTCTGTGAACCGGCGCTGACCTCCATCAGGCAGAGCGATGCTCTCGAGCCGATCTGGATTCTCCATGATGGGATATTTGTCGAGTGAACGCTGACGTTCGGTGCTAAAGAGGTTGTGACGAATAGATGCAGGCATTACACTTGCAGCCTTAACCTCATGGGGAATTCAGACAGATTTAAACGCTTATTACGCCATTTTACCTTCTTTATGCACGAGGCATCTCCATCCCAAACTTCCTTTAATCTTTCATTTGTCCTCCGAGCAGATTAAACGTCAAACTGTCAACAATACTTAACGTTTTGTCTGAGAGGGATGGCGCCCTGCTAAGGTCAGCGCATATTTATTTTGCTTTGTGCGGCTGATGCATTGATACAGAGATACGGTGGAAAATAATGAATATAGTCGTTCACTTCTGAGGGCTCTGCCGATCCGAGTCGTCGGCGCTGCACTGATATCATTCTGTCTTCTAAGAGCCGGGGAAGTCAATAAAAAGTCTATAGCGTAAGGAAAAAAGACTGATTAAATATGGCAGAGAGCCAAACTAAATCAAGTAAACAAGCCCTTTCTGAGCCAAAAGATGTGAAAAAACACAAACAAACTCATAAATGAATAAATAAATCAGATTGCAAAACATGTAATCACGATAATAAAATAATAAAATAAAAATAATGCCAGACTAAACAAGGCAGAAAGAAAGGGCAACAACAAACAAAATCAAGTAAACAAGCCCTTTCTGAGCCAAAAGATGTGGGGGAAAAAACACAAACAAACAAATAAATTCATAAATAAACCAGATTGTAAACCAAGAAATCATGAAAAAGTTAAAAAATAAAATAAATTAAAAATAATGCTAGACTAAACATGGCAGACAAGGTAGAAACAAACAAAAATCAAGAAAACAAGCCCTTTCTGAGTCCACAAATGTGAGAAAAAAACCACAAACAAATAAATGAATGAATAAATAAATCAGATTGCAAAAAATGCAATCACGAAAAAGTTAAAATAAAAAAAATATATATAAAATAAAATAATTCATTAATTAATCAGATTGCAAAACTACCAATCATGAAAAAAAAAAAAAAAAAAAAGAATAATTTTTTTTAAATAAAGCCAGACTAAACATGGCAAAAAGGGCACGGCAAACAAAACCAGGTAAACAAGCCTTTTCTGAGCCAAATAAATAATCTAAATCAACAAATATTGCACAAAAAAGAAACAATTATGAAAAAGTTGGTAAATAAAATGTTAATAAAATAAAATAAATTAATAATAAAAAAATAAATAAAATAGAATAAAGGTCCTCTGACATCGAGTAGTCAGCGCTACACTGATATCATTCTGTCTTCTACTTTTCCCAAGAGCCTCACCAGGGAAACCCTTCACTCCCGCTGCTTATAAAGCTGTTGATCCATGATATCCCATGACAGCTCAAATATTGATGTGCGTTGGATGACAAAACAAATCTCCAGATGAAAGCCAGGCGGCATGAGGTTACAAAAAACAGTCTTATTTGGCAGATGCGAGACTTTGAGTTTCTTCAGACCCACTAGAGAGTGTTAAAGACACGGAGGACGACTGTGCAACAGTTGTATTTGCAGACTATATTAAAGTCAACATGACGTGTTATCTGGTTTCAATCTTACCCGAATAACTCCCGAGTCTCGGAGCATTGCTGTCGACGCCGTCGTAAAAGTCCAGCGAGTCCCAGTTGTGTTCGGTGGAAAACGTCACGACTGTAATCTGCAGGAAGAACATACATCACTTCAAAAATCCACCAATAAATTACAATGCAATGTTTAATTTCAACTATTTTGGTGCATCTCATTTACTACATAAATATTAGTATACATTTAAGTCAGTTCTGGTCTGATAAGGCCATGTAAGACGGTGCAAAATGCAAATAGTCATATATTCATGCAAGTAAAAGGCTAATAAATCTATAAAGGGAAGAGAGATGTTGACGTCAAAGGCTGAATGGTCAATGATATGACTAATGCTAAAGCGACATGTTCGGCTGATGAATCACATTTCTTGTTGTTTTTCTATTTACAGTTTTCAGTTTATGGTAATCATTTTGCATATTGTTCAGCCGAAGCAGAATAATGATAAACAATGTTTGTTCAGCACATGTAAAACACAGAGAACCGCCGCTGTAGGAAGAAATCAGCCTTTCAAAACACATATTGGTTGAGCATTATTATATTTTTGCATCACTATGAATGAAGTATCACCTCCTTAAACTTCAAAAGTCACAAAGAACAGCAAAAATGGAATATTCACAAGTTCAATAATCAAGCAAAGCAAATAATAATGTGATTCCCTCGATAATATTTGCATCCCCAGGCAAGCGTTGAGTAATCAAACACACTTCGACTAATCAGAATTTGACATGTTTTTCTGAAGATTATTCAGAAACGATGGTTTTGTCTCACTTGGATCCCGGTTCCCTCCGGCACAAAGATCTTCCAGACGCAGTTGAGGTGGTTGTCGTACGGATCGGGATAAGCGGGAGACAGGACGGTCCCGCGGCGAGCGGTCAGGACTCCTCCACACGGCACTGGAAGACAGGATTGAGGAACAGAAGACTGAGTAAACGTGGCGGAGAGGACGACGACAACAACAACAACATCGAGTAAACAAGAGCTTTCGGAGCTGGAATATAGATGAGAACATGAGATAAATAAAGTAATAAAATAAAATGCCAAAAAGTTCCTTAAAAGGCCACATCAAGTCAATCAAAATAAATAATAGATAAATAATAATAACAAAAATATTCATAATATACGGTAAAAACTAATTAAATTAAATATATATATATATAAAATACTATTAATATTAATAAATGCAAAAAAAACCCCAAATATATATATAATAAAAATATTAGTCATAATAATAAAAAATAATAGAATAAATAATATTACTTATCATAATATAATGCAAATAATACTGTAATATAAATAATAAATTAAATAAATAATAGTAATATACTAAAATAAAAATAAATAAAAACAAATTAAATATATAAAATATAAAATAAAATACTTAGAGCACCTTAAAAGACCAGATGTTTTATGTTGAGCTGAAAAGGAGATTGTTTCTGAACATTACAGACTATATTTTCCCTTCTCAAACGAGCTTCTTTCAAAAGCACTTTTTCCCTGTGTAATGATGTTCTCCAACCAGCCAACAATCAACTGGGTCGGCCCATCTTACCCCAGCTCCAGGGGGACGTCATTACCAGGTGCAGATCTGAAGTGCCACAACACATTAATGCTAATGTCGCCGCATCTGCTTTAATCTAGCATGGACCGACCATGGACTAGCTATATATATATATATATCAAAAATGTCTCCTCTTCATGCATTACATCCTGGGAGTTCGAATGACTTCTTCCACATCCAGTGTACTGTATCATGTGGCTTCAGCACATCTTTCATAGGCTTCATCGTGCTCTGCTTAAAACACATTATGCATTCATCATTTTCAATTATTCAACCTCGTACTCCTTCTATTTGAAGTTTCCTCTGATATTTCAGCCCACTGAAGGGGATCCTTTGAGCAGAGGAACTCTTATCTTCTGAAGAGTTGTCGAGCTTAAGTGCAACCATAATGATATTTTTGGTCACAGCTATAGCTGACAGACACCAATTCAATCTATGTAAAACCAGACACTTTTGGAGCGGATATGCAGAACTGGCTATTAGATGAAAAGTTAGATGCAAAGTTCATAATTTAAAGAGACTCGTCCCTTTCTTTTACTCATCCTCATGTTGTTTTAATCCTAAATGACTTACTTTCTTCTGTTGAGCACACGAGGAATATCATGGCTTTTCTTTTCTTTTGTTTTAATAATGTAAATTATTGAGGATAACAAAAAAAGCATCATTAAAGTATTTTATATATGACCCAAGTCATGATGAACAGACCGAAATTAAGTTATTTCATTAAAATCCAGTGGACTTTTCTAATTTACTTTATATAGTTTATTCAGCCTCTCATTCAGAAATACAACTAGATCAAAATACATCGGCAAATTACACACCTATTTCAAATCTTCCATTTATGTCTAAAATACTAGAAAAAGTCGTGTTTGCTCAAATGTGGTTCTTCCTGGTGGTTCCTTAGTGCTGCGTTCGACACTATAGATCATTAAATACTCTTAGATCGACTACAATAGAGTTAAAGGGTTAGTTCAGCCAAAAATGAAAATGATGTCATTAATGCCTCTCCCTCGTGTCGCTCCAAGCCCGTCAGACCTCCGTTCATCTTCAGGACACAGTTTAAGATATTTTAGATTTAGTCCGAGAGCTTTCTGTCCCTCCAGTGTAAATGTGTGTACGGTATACTGTCCTTGTCCAGAAAGGAAATAAAGACATCATCAAAGTAGTCCATGTGACATCAGTGGGTTAGTTAGAGTGTGTTGAAGCATCGAAAATACATTTTGCTCCAAAAATAACCAAAACTCTGACTTTATTCAGGATTGTATTGTGTTCCGGTTCTGTTGTGGATCCGCGTTCAGTGACGCTGTTGACGTAAGACGCTGTTGACGTGTGTCTGGTGTGTGTGTGTGTGTGTGTGTGTGTGTGACGTAAGACGCTGCTGACGTGTGTCTGGTGTGTGTGTGTGTGTGTGTGTGTGTGTGTGTGTGTGTGTGTGTGTGACGTAAGACGCTGCTGACGTGTGTCTGGTGTGTGTGTGTGTGTGTGTGTGTGTGTGTGTGTGTGTGTGACGTAAGACGCTGCTGACGTGTCTCTGGTGTGTGTGTGTGTGTGTGTGTGTGTGTCTGGTGCGCCCGAGCTTCGTTTACAGTCTGAGGGAGACGCACGCTGGAAACAAAACAATCTTCGCAAACATGTCTAAGGATTTCCACACAGAGGAAGACTTTATGACCATATTTATTTGAACCCGAATACACACACACACACACACACACACCAGACACACGTCAGCAGCGTCTTACGTCAGCAGCGGCACTGAACGCGGATCCACAACAGAACCCGAATACACACACACACACACACACACACACACACACACACACACACACACGTCAGCAGCGTCTTACGTCAGCAGCGGCACTGAACGCGGATCCACAACAGAACCCGAATACACACACACACACACACACACACACACACACACACACACACACACGTCAGCAGCGTCTTACGTCAGCGGCGGCACTGAACGCGGATCCACAACAGAACCAGAATACACACACACACACACACACACACACACACACACACACCAGACACACGTCAGCAGCGGCACTGAACGCGGATCCACAACAGAACCAGAACACACACACACACACACACACCAGACACACGTCAGCAGCGTCTTACGTCAGACACACACACACACACACACACACACACCAGACACACGTCAGCAGCGGCACTGAACGCGGATCCACAACAGAACCAGAACACACACACACACACACACACACACACACCAGAAACACGTCAGCAGCGGCACTGAACGCGGATCCACAACAGAACCCGAACACACACACACACACACACACACACGTCAGCAGCGTCTTACGTCAGCGGCGGCACTGAACGCGGATCCACAACAGAACCGGAAGACAATACAATGCTGAATAAAGTCAGAGTTTTTGTTATTTTTGGACCAAAATGTATTTTCGATGCTTCAACACACTCTAACTAACCCACTGATGTCACATGGACTACTTTGATGATGTCTTTATTTCCTTTTTGGACAAGGACAGTATACCGTACACACATTTACAATGGAGGGACAGAAAGCTCTCGGACTAAATCTAAAATATCTTAAACTGTGTCCTGAAGATGAACGGAGGTCTGACGGGCTTGGAGCGACATGAGGGAGAGTCATTAATGACATCATTTTCATTTTTGGGTGAACTAACCCTTTGAGGTGGTTTAGATCGTGTCTATCAGACCGTTACCATTTTATCTGCTTAAACGGGGAAAAGTCTAAGAGAACGTCAGTAAATGATGGGGTGCAGCAAGGCTCTGTGTTAGGACCTCTTCTGTTCTCAATATTTATGCTGCCACTTGGTAATATTATAAGAAAACATGGAATTAGTTTCCACTGTTATGCCGATGATACTCAGTTATATATTTCACCACGACTAGATGAATTCTGTAAATTATCTAAGTTGACAGAGTGTATTAAATATATAAAATATTGAATGACCAGTAATTTTCTTCTATTAAATTCCGATACGACTGATGTATTACTTACTGGACCAAAACCCTGTACACAAAACTACAGGTGAAACTCAAAAAATCAGAATATGGTGCAAAAGTTTTCAGTAATTCAACTTAAAAGGTGAAACTAATATATTATATAGACTCATTACATGCAAAGTGAGATATTTCAAGCCTTTATTTGTTATAATTTTGATGATTATGGATTACAGCTTATGAAAACCTTTTCACAATATTCTGATTTTGAATTTGGGGTTTTTATAAGCTGTAAGCCATAATCATCACAATTATAACAAATAAAAGCTTGAAATATCTCACTTTGCATGTAATGAGTCTATATAATATATTAGTTTCCCCTTTTAAGTTGAATTAATGAAAACTTTTGCACCATATTCAAATTTTTCGAGTCTCACCTGTATATTAGAATACAATTTGTATTTAGAAGGATGTACTGTAACTTCATCCTCTACAGTTAAAGACCTGGGAGTTAAAGTAGACACCAACTTGTCTTTCGAAAATCATATTTCATATGTTACAAATATGTGTCTTTTTTTTTTCCACCTCAGAAACATTGCTAAAAAATGAGATAAACTTCATGGAGACGTTGCAGCTGTTTTCTTATTCTCACCCTAACTGGAAAATAGTTTTATCTTGACACATTTTGTCAAATTATATCTCGATGCTTTGATACTGTATGTTTCCTGCAAAACAAAACACTAATTAAGAAAATGATTTATTGCACTTGATGCATTTATATGTTTGTAAAGCCGAACTTTTCCATCCTCCGCCAGTGACGAAGATCCCAAAGACTTGCAGTGGATATGCAAAATCAATACATTCATAATTACAGTATTGTGCTTTCTAATAGATGAGAAACACGTCATATTAAATTACTTCAATTTTCCATTTTCATTAGTGCTTTTCAAAACATACAAAGCACACAAGCGTCAGCTAAGAAGAAACGCCGAGGGGAAAAACACACACTAACTGGATTAAATTGAAAGGAGAGGAGTGAATCTTCTGACACGCTCGCTCACCTTTGCAGAGCTCAGTCGAGCAATTTCTATTTGCTAGTTGAGGCTTCGCCGGACATTGTGCTCAGCACCTTTTGTGTAGCTATCAATAAGCGCGAATCCTCTGTGGATGTTAACTAGCGCAAGGGTTTGTGTCTTCACAGGCAGTTTCTGACGCTATCAGTCACACACACGAGGACCTCGAGAGACCCGAGTCAATCGCTTTGTTTTCAATCACCGGGTGCAAAAGAGAAACGCCACTCGTCTGCTAGTGCTTCTCCTTCACTGACAGAAATGAGTCTGTGGTGAAGAGAATACATCGGAAAACACTAATGTTATT